ATGTTGAATGAATGAATGAAAATGAAGAGAAAATGTTGAAAAATCATTTTTTCCCGAAACAAGGTAGGTACAAAATCGACATTGACTCAACATTGACTAGGTACAAAATCCCCTAATGGTGTAATAGTGGAAATATTTCACTGAGGAAACTTAATGATATCGTGCTAATATTAGTACATATAATTTTATGCTACAAATCTAATCTCCAAGTCTGAGCCCACGCAAATGGACGCAGTTTAATTCTATGTGTACTTCTGCCTGTATTTTTGACATAGACCTACAATCATTTTAAATCAATTCATTGAATCAAATAATTTTTTTCTATATATTTGATGGGTCGACGTTTGTACTACGATCTCGCCGTTGTAAGCGATGATGCGGTCAACGATGGAGCACGTCGTCCCAGAAGCAACCTATTCACTCGGACCTTGAAGACCCAGACACCCCTTCATATATTTACACCAATTTTCCTTGTTACAGGTTGAAATGGCATGCGAGCTAAGGAAGCCACTATTCGTTCACGAGAAAGAAGCTCAAGACGACTTAATAAAGATCCTCGATGAATTCGGATCCCGTCTACCAGCAGTTGTGATCCACTCCTTCACAGGATCCGTGGAACAAGGACTTAAATACATAGAGAAAGGGTTTTACTTAGGTATCACCGGGTATATATGTAAGGATAAGTCTGATGGTGGAATTAGAAGGTTGCTCTCGGAAAGACTGTTGCCTCTTGACAAACTGCTGGTGGAAACTGATTCGCCGTTCATGTACCCGAATATGAGGGCTTCGAAGCTACCGCTGCATGTCAAGGATTCTCTAACTGAGAGGTAAGAAAGATATTATAATAGTGAAGCAACGCTTGCATTGTGTTTCGTCGTGTGAGTGAGGTTACCAGAGGCCCAATTATCCTCCCCTTCCCCAATCTCCCCAATCCCTGAATCCCCAACGATCCTCAAATCCTAATCCCCAAAATGCCGGTAACGCCTCTGGTGTTTCAGCCGATTGCTTACCATCAGGTGATCCGTCTGCTTACCGGCTTAGTCATTCGATGATTTTCCCCCCTTAAAAAAAAGGCCATAAAAAAAAACAAAAAAAAAACAATGAGTAATGTACCGACGAATTCAGGATTTAATTTTGACTAACCGTCCTTGTGTCCACTCGACCAAGGAAACATGTGTATTACACCAGTTTACATGGTGTTACAAAAATAATTGAAAAAAGGTGTCAGTAGGTGACTCTGGAATTTGTCCTTGACAATCACAATTACAGAATGTGATGCGAATTTCTTTGTTAGACTGTTGTATTGTCAGATCTTATGTCATCCATATTATGTTACATTCACACTATTGTGAGCTATTTAAAAATTTCCTCTATGTTTCTTTTGTTACTTTTTATATTTGTAGTTAACTAGTTAACACTATACTTCCATTTTCCGAAGTAGTAGCGTGCTTGTAATGCATCTTCTTTTCTTTACTTGTCTTATTAACAGTTTTTATGGGTGGAAGGTTGGAAAATTTTCAAATGTATCCTCCCGCTTTGGATGAGTTGTGGGCGCGTGTCAGATTCTTACTGACTAAAAACCAACCCGTTCCTACTCCAATTCTCTGCCGATATATGTTTAGCTTTAACCGTCACTTCGGTGTTATGAACCTATTAAACTACATTTCCAAACTTATGACACACTTTTAAGTGCGGGAGAGTCATGCTTCGGCACGAATAGGTAGACTCGACCGGTGTGATACCACGGCCTCATAGAAAACCGACGTGAAACAATGCTTGTGTTGTGTTTCGTCGTGTGAGTGAGGTCACCGGAGGCCCAATTACCCTCCCCTTCCCCAGTCTCCCCATTCCCCGAATCACCCATAATCCTCAGTGAGATTCCCAATTCAATTATATTATAATTATATAATTACAGAGAAAAACTATTATACACAATTTTGGAATCGATACGCTCTTGTGTTGCAATTACATATACAACACCTTCTGAGCATGAAACAAATTTCAAACTCCAAAAATATACACTATAAAGTTTATCTAAATCTAAATAATACTACCTATTGTACGCTAGGTACGATATATCGATTGCTAGACACAATATTAGGACGCGTTATGATAGTGATAAGATAATGATAGTCAACATCCGAATTACGTGCTGTTTGATAACAGAGACTAACAAAACAATATGTTATCAAGCAACGTGCTACTTATAAATTACTTGTGGGTTGTCTAGTGTACCTACATCAATATATATAGAGGCTGTCTTTTATAGATTTTTTATGGGGGCAAACGAGCAGACCTGATGGTAAGCAATCAGGGTTACCGGGGCTCCGGCTCGACGTGCAGGAGAAGGAACGGGGTGGTTTTTATTCAGGAAGAGTCTGACACTCCCTCCCGCCTCACCTAGGCGGGAGCAGTCATTCGATGATTTTCCCCTCTTAAAAAAAAGGAATCAGTGCCGCACATGGAAATGCGTAATATCAGGTGACATCCCTTGCTAGATTAAAAACTTTACTGTTTGGCAAACCAGAAACCATAGTTACCACTTGCTAAGTTCATAATTCTTTTAGTTTCCTTCTCTTTTCCAGTATTTTACTTCGATACTACATAACAACTGCAATAAAACACTGGAATAGTTTCACCAAATTTAATACTTACCTGTTTTATTTCTAGATCGATGAACTTCGTGAACCGATACTGCACGTTTCAACGGAATGAGCCTTGCGCCCTACCAGCTATCGTCGAACTCATTGCCGGCTTCTTAGGACAAAAGCCAGAAGATGTCGCCTTAGCCACCGCATTCAACGCCCTTAAGATTTTCGGACTCAGCCAGTGAGTTAGGCAATTATACACCCTCTTACTTTAAAAATAAAGGCTAACAGGGAATTTGTAATATGGGGGATTTTATACGATTTGTTATAAAGAGATGTATATTGTTGATCTATAGGTTTTGATGAAATATGACTGAGTAAGAGGGTTGATCATGTCCAATTTTATAAGGAATCGAAATTCGTGCCTTAGTGCCTTGATTATAGAGTCGATTATACAGAAATGTTTGATTATTTGGGAGTGATGTAATCACAATAAAATCCCAGTTGAGATAGATTATACAATTGTTATATTAAAGCGTATTTGTTGGTTTCTTCGAACGCCATCCGATTTGTTCGAGATTTTTTCAATTAAATTATTGAATAACAATCTAACCTCGAAAATTGAAAATACTCATTTTCATTGTATTGCATTTCGATAATGACAAGAAACGATAATTTTTTGTGTACATTTTGTGGCACAATGAGGCTATAGAACGGTTTTTGCGACATATTTATAGACAATTTGTCGCTTAAATCGCCTTAATTTGATACTAAAACATTCGAGTATAATATCTTGCCATTGATATAAAAACTAACATTGATTGCCTCTCTAAATGGTAAGCCTGATGATGAGTTTTGGAAGAATTTCTACACATTTGAATACACAGAGTCAATATAATTAATTTATGCAACGAACTGAAAAGCAGCTATTTAAAATTGTTGTGATTTAAATTAATTTATAGCGTAATAACTTGCAGATACAGCGTTTATATTTATTAATAATTTAATTTGTCTGTACAGTTATTTATGCTAGGTCAGTATTCTTAGCAAGAAACTATAAGACTTTTATTTAAACCCTATATGGACTACGTGTGTTTAAATGTATAGAAATAGAAAATTATAATGAGAGATATTGCTACGCAAGTTACAAACGCGTACCTGAAGAGCCAAGTCTTAAATTATTGCCATTTCATGATAGTACTTGGTATTTTTGCATAATAAACGACGACCCTAAAATAAGATTTTTTGACTAATAAATTGTGGCTTACGTCTGCACACGCCTTAACTGGTGGCAACCGGGTTTTAGTCAGACTGATCTCAAATGCCGTGTTTGAAGTAATTATTCATTTGTCCATATTTTTTTTAAAGATTTCGTCAGTAAAACGAATCGTTTTCGACGAATACCATAGTGTTGCAGTTCACTCGGTAATTCTTAGTTTTATTTATAACGTAAGGGAATGTAAACCATTTTTTTTAATACTAACATTTTGTACGTAATTTAGGTTTAGGCGATGTTAGACTAGCTATATAATTATAGTGTTGTCGCCAAATAGAACGTTTATTAATGTTTTTGTTTGTGTTTTAATAATGTTCTTGATAAGTCCGATATAGAGAGAGGGACACAGAGAAGTAATTGCAAAGAAATCCAAAAATATTATTTTTTTACTTGCCATTTGAATGGTTGATTTCTATGCAGTTATTTGTCGGTGTGTCGCTGGATAATCTATGTCCTCTTGCCTGTGTGACCGCGGAAGTGAACTGCGACCTTAGAACTCACGTACCGATGGCCTGTTGCCACCTTTATCGAATGCACGGTGTTAGGTATTTTCTTATAATTCTCGCTCTGCGCAGAGCATTCCTAATCGAATTACAATATTTATATTTTCATCGAATATTTGTAAATAGTTTGAAGATGTGTAATAATTATTTAATGTTAATTTAATGCTGGTAGTCACAACGAAATCAAAGACTGCAAGTATTAAAGAGAAAATGTGAAACTTGACATGTTAATTACGTTTATGTTTTTGTATCGATATTTTTTACGTATTTAATCGTTTATCGTGTAAGAAGTATTGTTATTCCTTTATTTTTTGACACTTTGTTGTAGTTGTGTAAGTGTGGGCTGGTGAGCCTGTAAGTACGTTTGTATTGCGCATGCGCACCGCTGGCCCGGCTCGTGTAGTGCCTTCGATGAAACGTCCTTTTGTGATACAATATTTTCATAGATTGTACAGATTATTTCTTTCAATATACAATTAAAGAAATTATCAAGTTGTGTTTTATTTATGTTTACTGATACTTCACAAGAATTACCTGCTGACGTGAGAACAAAATGGGTGCACAGGAACACAAATGACGTATTTTTGTAATAAAAATCAGGGATGATCCCGCTCCATAACCGTAACCGAAACTATATGATATCCGATATAAAATAATATCCGTAACCATACCGAATCTGAAATAAGAGTTTCGGATACTATCGGATAGGGGGTGACGTATAAATGCAATCATTATTTTAGCTATTTGTATTTTACTTTTGAAATACCTTAAAATTTTAATACCCGTAACCGAAATTATCCGAAACTAACGGATAATCCGAAATAATTTCATATCCGTATCCGAAATTTCATATCCATAATATCCCTGCTAAAAACGATCTATAGTATAGTTTTTATACTGAAATTATTGAAACTTGATGTATTTCTTGCCTGTATGGGATATGGAAGCAAACGGATCACTTGATGATAAGCAAGAAATCACCGACGCCGCCCATTGATTGATGATTGATTGCCCACAACACCAATAGAGTTACAAGTGCTTTAGGGGCGGGGTGGACTGGATTGTAAAGTAAATAACAAACAATATAATTTGGAATTAAATTTATTTCTACTTATGTACAATTTTTGGCAGTCAACATAATAATAACACTAACTTATGCATATAACAGTGACCGGGGTGCTTACTCTTGAAACCAATCTTAATGTCAATGCAATTTCAATCCAATAAAATCTCAATAATTATTCAATGTCAACGCTATACAACCATAATTGTAGCTGTTAAAATAGCACTCAGAGTACGGAATATAAACCCAAACTCGATACCATTTAGTTCATTCAATATCCACGCAATACGGATGCAATGGGCGCTAATTTTGTGACTCAAGAGTACGAAATTTCGCAGTACCAATGTCGATCGATCGGAATTGGATTCAAGAGTAAGCCACCTGACATACAATATACAATCAAACATTTTGTAGGGAAGTAATTGTGAATACTGTATAACATGTACTATGTACTGTTTTTGTCAAAAAATCTTGATACGTTTTACAATACAGTCGATAAAATTACCAATGTAGGCACAATTTAACAATCATAATTATATGAAAACATTCATGAAGTTACAGTTCCATTATTCCTTTTTTTTAAATAAACAACATGGTTTTGACCTGAATAGTGCACATTTTTATAGTTTTGAATCTTTTTATACAAAATTATTCACGAAAATACAAACTAATGTCAACAAAGATTTTCATTACGGGATGTAAAGTCGCCAGCAGATCAATTGACACCAATAAGTCATTATTATTCATTGATTTACGATTTTTTTTCTATATGGTTCCGACGTATGGCCAAGCGATGATGCAGCCTACAATGGAGCACGTCTGCCCATAAGCAAACTCACTCAGGCCTTGAAGACACCCAGATTATACCCTTCGGGAAACACAGACTTCGGCAAAGAATACCACTCCTTAGCGGTACGCACAAGGAAGCTTGATTCAAAGCGCTTTGTGCGTGTGGGTGGGACATCTACCATAAATCGGTGACGCTTCGCCGATTGTCTTGTGGTACGATGATGGAAAGGACTAGGGGGAATTAAGTTGTGCAATTCCCCCGCACACTCACCGCTATATTTAGCGACCGCGATTTATATACCAAAAGTTGGACAAGTTACAAGTTGGAAATGTAACAAACAGTGATATTAGTGGTTGGCGTAGCATGTAAGATCTTTATAACAATTATTTGACCATGAAAACAATTTACTTGTAATATGACAAGGGCACGGACACAAGTCCGTGGAAAAATACAGTTTATTATTATTAAAAAAAAAATGGTCGTGGTTGCCCGGAGGTTTAAGACGCCCGCTTCTCATGCATGAGTTTGCGGGTTCGAAATTTACCAACTGCAAGTACCAATGTGACTTTTTCCGAGTTATATGTACTATCTAAGATTATCTAGACACCATTGACAAACGGTGAAGGAAAACATCGTGAGGAAACCTGGGCTTATAATTTCTAATTGTTAATTTGAAATCGCCAACCCGCAATGAGCAAGCGTGGTGATTAATGTTCAAACCCTCTCCGTGCGAGATGAAGCTTTGCTTAGCAGTGGGCATTTATAGGCTGTTGATGATGAACAAAAAAAATGTAAGAAACAAAGTAAGGAAATGCCAAGTTGACCTGCTAGCAACCGTACATTTTTAATTTACATAAGTTTAATAACCGTCATCATTTTAGCTCAGCATTCAACGTCATATGACATCACACAAATACAATTTTAACAATAATAATGTCCTAATAAATATCACAGTTTTTATTTAGACTTTATCTAGTTTTTTAACAACGCCTGGTGGCGGGGAGCTAAGGACCTTCTTCGACAGTCTCACTTGACCGGAGACTGGGTCACGACCGAAGTATTTCACTTGTATCTCGGAGCCCACGTCTAGGCCGAGCACTGAGGGGTGCATTATCTGGGGAAGAGAAGATAGTTTTAAACATAAACATAACAGCACGACTTTTATCCCTGAAGGGGTAGGCAGAGGTGCACATTACGGCACTTAAGCCACTGTACAATGTAACACCCAATTTTCACTATTTATGTTATGAGTCCCATGTAATAGGGGGTGAACGTATTGCCATATACCGGGCACAATTCCAAACTCCGAGCTACTAGAGAGATTTTTTTAAAAAACCCTTTAATACTTTACCCGACCCTGGAATCGAACCCGAGACCCCTTTCCCAGCAGTCCAGATCCACTAATCTTAATCGTAACATTTTAAATTAGTAGCAATAAGAGCAGAGAAAACTATCAAGAATAAGTTACATTGTCTAAATTTCACATTTTATTTTCATTATTTGAGTGGCTCTTTGGTAAGGTGAGTGGGCAAGGTAAATCACGAATATCCAGCAAAGAAAGAAAAGTTCTAGTTTCTAGTCAGGAACGATATTATTGAGCTTGTTCGAATACTTCATTTTTATCGCTTTTGAGAGAGGACAGGGATGATGACTGAAAATTACGACAACCTTAATTTTTAGAACTTAGGCTCGATTCCTGGGTCGAATCCTCGACAGTTGCTCTTGCCATCAATGAGGCAGTTATTCCGATTCCGACTTATGGCACTATGCATGACTTTTGGCCGTTTCCAACTATCTCTCAAATAAGAGTTACTTAGCTTGAGCCCCTAAACTAACTTACTGGTACTGTTGCATAACTTGTAGGATGATGAATACCTATCTTAGTTTAGAGGTTCCTTAAAAATTAAAAGAGGATTGTGCAACGGACATTCGATGCTTCTTGGTCGTAACGCCTATCTCTATCTATACTAATATTATAAAGAGGAAAGATTTGTATTTTTGTATGTTTGTAATGAATAAACTCAAAAACTACTGGACCGATTGCAATAATTTTTTCACCATTAGAAAGCTGCATTATTCAGAAGTAACATAGGCTATATAATATCACTCTAGGTCCTATAGTTGTGGAGCAGTAACCAAAAATGTTTTAAAAACGGGGGAAAAGTATCGTTTCTGAGGCCTTCCGTGGCGTGCGCTGAGCATATAGTTAAAGTTATACAAAAATGCTTTATAGATGAATTGTTCATAAATAAATGAAGTCCGGAAAAATATTTACAAAAGGTAAATACTTCCTAAATAAAAAAAAAACTGAAAATAAACATAAATAAAACGTAAAACTATGTAAAAAATCTTAAGCCCCCCCGTGCGAAGCCGGGACGGGTCGCTATCGTTTATAAAGTTATTTTCTTACCTTCCTATGATCAAGTTGCGTATTATGTACAAGTGCAGGCGTCATGCCGGAGTAGAGAGTGACCAGTACTCCTATATCCTTCACCTCCACGACCCTCGCCTTGTATATAGCTCCAAACTCCAGTTCAGGAGTTTTTTCTGAAGTCAGCCAGCCTTGTATGCGACTGTGGGCCTCGTCCATCGCCGCTTGTGAGGGCGCGAAGATACTGTATTTTATGTCGTCTATTGGAGTCACCTGGGAAATTTTATTTTAGACTTTGTTACTGAGGAATATGGTTTAAATCTGTGTAAATTCCCTGTAATACCTATCAATCTTAATTATTTGCTATTAGACTTATAATGTTACTATTCAAAAGGCATTTAACTTTTAATCTAAGTTTGGGAGAGCCATGCTTCTGCACGAATGAGCCGGCTCGACCGAAGTGATACCACGGTTTCACATAAAACCGACGTGAAGCAACGCTTGCGTTGTGTTTCGTCGTGTGAGTGAGGTAACCGGAGGCCCAATTACCCCCCCCCCCTCTACAATCCCTGTAGCCCTAATAATTTTCAAATTTTTAAATCCCAAAAGACTGTGGGCGAGGCCGATTGCTTACCATCAGGTGACTGGTCTGCTCGTGTACCGGCTTATCCCATAAAACAATCTTAGAACCCAAAGAATAAGGTTTACATTCAAATTAACTTGTAACTATTCTGCTTCCATTTGACTTCAACCTTACAACGTAAATAATAAGGTTCACATTCGAACTGACCTGTACACCAGTTTCAAGGTATAATTTCTTCAAGTTGGCCCCTCCCATGCCGAGCAACTTCGGTCTCTTGTGGACTTCCACCTCCATCTCTTCGATAACCGGCATGTTATCTTTGTGCCCTTGTCTGGAATACATAAACAAATATGTAGCTGTCATGATCAAACTACAAATTACATAATTGGGATGATGACAGGGTATGAAAATTAAAAATGTAATTAGTCCGTCAGTTAGGTAATGAAAAAATATTAGACACGTATTTTTTTATTTTGTCGTATAAGAAAACAATACTTAGATAAAACGAAACAAAGTTTAGGAGTGGGGGCTAAAACGTCACTTCTACGTATAAAATGTACATAGAAGTGACGTCACGGGCCGTTTCAAATCAATATACCGTCGAAAGTATTCGTTTCTGTAAGAAAATACGTGTCTAATGATTTAAAATAATCTACCAGACGGACATTAAAATAAAAATTAGGCATCTACTCTATTATTATTAATCTTGACTTCTGAGGTTAATGAGCTCGCTTCCCGTGTATGACGGTGTACGCTTTAGTGCGCGTTCGAAACCTGGCAAGTACCAATGTGACATTTTCCATGTTATAGATTACAATTATGCATGATATCAGTGACTAACGGTGAAAGAAAACATCGTGAGGAAACCTGGGCTTATAATTTCTAATTATAAGTTTGTAATCATCAATCCGCATTGAGCAAGCGTGGTGATTAATACTCAAATCATAACATATCATAACATCAGGCCATATTATCCCCGAAGGGGTAGGCAGAGGTGCACATTGCGACACCTAATGCCATTGTGCAATGTAACACCCACTTTTCAATATTTTATGTTATGAGTGCCATGTAATAGGGGTTGAGCCTATTGCCTTATACCGGGCACAATTCCAGACTCCGTACTACCACTAAGATTGTTTTTTAAAAACCCAGTAATACTTTGCCCGGTCCGGGAATCGAACCCGAAACCCCTTGCACGGTAGTCGCACTTGCGACCACTCGGCCAATGAGGCAGTCTCCGTGTATCCGTGTAGAGTACTCAAATCATCTCCGCGTGAGAAGAGCATTTGCTCAGCAGTCGAACAGTTATAGGCTGACGATGATAATAAAAAACGAACCTTGGTTTATCAATACACTGATTCATAATATCGATGATCTTGCTCTTAGCGTCACAGGCCTTCTGTATAGACTCCATGACAATCTTGAGCGGTAGTCCGGGGACTTTGACGTCGGCTTGTAACGCAGTCATTCCTTTCTTAGTACCGGCCACTTTGAAGTCCATGTCGCCCATGTAGTCTTCTATACCCTGAGAAAAAATATGATATTACTTTAAAAGTTGATCAAAATTAGTGTTTTAATTTATACTGTGATTTTTTTAAAGAAATATGGATTGCAGTGTTGGAATTTTATTGAAAAATGTTTGATAAAAAAAATAAGAATTTGGGATAGGCCTTTGCTCAGCTAAGGTTGACAGTACAATTAAACAAGTATAAGTAGGCAAGAGTTCACCTACTATCAATAATAATAATAATCTTATATCTTATACTATTATATAAAAAAGCAGAAGAATTTGTTTTTTGTTTGTTTGTTTGAACGCGCTAATCTCCGTAACTATAGTCAGAATTTTAATTAGATTCCAGATTTGACAATAGCTACTGTCATTTTGTGAAATAATGATACCACATATAATAGTGTAGTGATGGACACAAAAATCGATAAATAATCAGTATGTGTGTTTTATAATAAATGTTACAGAAAGTGACAGCGATAGCGATAGCGATGACGGCGACAATTTATAAAATAACTTGTTACCATAATACATCTATCTGTTTTATTTGTCATGTTCCTTCATGATCACATTTTTTTAGTTATTTCACACACAATTATAAAAGAAAAGTCTCAGATCGTTAAGTAATCGTCAAAACTAAATTATCGGTCAGAAATATTTAATTTCCTGATATCCTTAGTTTACGAGAGTAAAATTATAAACGAGAAGAATCGATCCAGAAATATTGCATTTCCATATCGAATAATTTCGCAACGTCACTATTTAGTACTTGTCATAACGTTGCAACACTGAAATTGTCAAATCTGGAATCGAATTAAAATTCCGAGTATACAAGTCTGATTTGAATAATTATTTTGTGTTGGATAGCGCATTAATCGAGGATGGCTAATGCCGGAATACTGGTAACGTTACTCAATTTTAAGTCACGCTTAAGTATAGTTCTGTCTCCACAAATTCTTGTGAAATGACAGAGATGGCACGATATTTAAGCACGACTTAAAATTGAGTACCGTTTCAGTATTCCGGCATAGAGGCTATAAAACATCACGCTACGACCAATAGGAGCTGAGCAGAGCGCGTGAAACCGCGCGGAAGTAGCTAGTTTTATTATTATTTCATTGTGTACTGTGTAATTATTTTACTTTTAAACACATGGTCTAAGCATTTGTCAAACAAACATCCCATTTCTAAAAATCAGAACATCTGTTACGAGACTCCAAAATCTAATAAAATGTTACATAGAAAAACAGAAACGGACTCACTAACAAATCAGTAAGGATCCTGTAGTCCTCGATTTGTCCTTGTTGATCAGGTCGGGAGACCAGACCTATCGCTACTCCTGCCGCGGGAGCTGCCAGAGCTACCCCGGCGTCCATCAGGGCGAGGGAACCACCGCATACTGATGCCATTGAACTTGAGCCTGCGGAGAAATTATGTCTATTATACTCATGATATCTAAGTGTATGAGAAAGAAAGAATTTGTCGCCACCTATATCTTTCTTGTAGGTTTTTTTTATGGGATAAGCCGGTGAACGAGCAGATGGATCACCTGATGGTAAGCAATCGGCGTCGCCCATAGACACCTGGAACACCAGAGGCGTTACAAGTGCGTTACTGGCCCTTTGGGATTAGGAATTTAAGGAATTGGGGATTCAGGGATTGGGAAAGAGGAGGGGGGGGGGGGATCTTCTGCCCACCCTATATGGCATATCTGTATCTGTAGAGGAGGCTCATAGTTCAGTGGTGGACACTGGACAGTTACAAATGTTGATGATGACAAATAAATTTTTTGGAGAGAATAGTGAAAATGTTTTTATAATAACTATCGTGAGACATACTAAATTAACTAAAATCTAAAATTAAAAATAAAATAAAACAGTGAACTGCGCGACGTTGCTGCGACTGCGCACGCTGCTCATGAGGAAGAGCCCCTCTGTGGTTCGAAACTAGTAGAGCTTTTCTCAGTATATTTACGTGGGTAACCAGCGATATTTAGTTAATAGTGCAAATGTATCATTGAAAAATAATAAACAACATTCACCTGAAAGTCAAGACCCTTAACAGAAAATGTATTATAACCATTTACCATTAGACTCGAGTACTTCAGCAGTTAGCCTGACAGTATAGGGCTGATGCGGCACCACGGGTAGTAAGCCCCTCTCGGCCAGGGCTCCGTGCCCTGCCTCGCGGCGCCCCGGGGCTCCAGTCCGACCCACCTCACCCGTCGCGTATGAAGGAAACTCGTAATGAAGGAAGAAACTCTTCTCTTTTATGCCACTGGAATAACATAATGGTAAAATATATAAAACACGTATTTGTGTAAATTACTCTGTGGCGGTCATCGCCCCCATTCTATGTCATCATGTGATTCTGATTCTGAGCATGTGATTATGATGTCACCTGTGCATGTATTAATTTGTTTTATTTATTTATTTATTTATAATATGGACAACCAGTAGTCTTATTATTAAACAGTCTCATATTGAACTTAAACTGTCAAAAACCAAGCGGTCACCGGTGACCGCGACTATTGTTCTATAATTGTGTCTATAATGATGGTACTCGACGAGTTAAACGAGTGCAGATCATTTCACTCCTCACTCAAATACCGTACACATACGGCGCTAAGTCCCACAACTCTATTTTTAAAGGAGGGCAAATGAAATATTGGGTACTAATTTAGTATACGTGTTAAGAAGCTTCAGATTAAAACACAATATTACTTTGCCCTACCTTAGAATTCAATTGAAAACATTGAATTTTGCCGTTGCGATCAATAACGAGGCATTATTTATTTCAGATTAATTAATTTATTTATTTATTTATCATTTTATGTACCTACACCACACAGACAATATTACACAGGACAACACATTATAAACATGAGGTACATAGGTACTGCATATCCCTTAAGGGATTTCTTCCTGCAGACCTGCGACAGGAAAAGGAAATTAAACATAAGACATAAGACACAGTGTAGATAGATGATACATGCAACGAATACAGAACAACATAATTTCTTTACGCGTTACTAACGAAAAGGGTCTAGATAGATAGATAGATAGATAGATAGATAGATAGATAGATAGATAGATAGATAGATAGATAGACAGACGGACGGCTGGACGGATAATAAAGTAAGAGATCCTATAAGGACTCCATATTGTCTTCCTTGTCCTTTTATGGAACCCTAAAAATAAAAGATTCTAAAGTCAAATAAATCTTGGAACTATTATTATTTTATTCACATTTCATCTTCTAGTTATCAAAGTATGACTTACCTAGTAAGCATAGTTAGTGTATCCATCTTGAGCGCGCTCTCTGGGGAGTCGAACGCGACCGTGCATAGAACTTGCGTCTGCCCGCGTTGGAACACTGCACTACCGTGCAAGGGCTCATATAGGGATACCTGGTGAAGAATAATAATTATCACAATAGTTTTAAACTAACCGGGGACTGTTCTTGGGTGCATTTCCAGTCGACGTTTTGTGTGTCCATTACATTAAAATTAAAGTTGTCTAAAGGGCCTCTGCGCAATTGGTCGGCCCCTCGTACGCCTCCCAAATGACCGGGACCCTGTGGTCCCGTGAATAGTAAAATCATAACATTAGATTAATTACATTTTATTGTTTACTAACGTAGATGTTTGACGAAACATTCTTTGCTTACCAAATGGCGCAAAATTGGGGATGGGATTTTTCGTCCAATCACAGCAGCTGTCAAAATATTGAACGCCCAATGACGCGACACTATCTAATTCCCTATTGGACGAAGAATGAGATAGGCACACTGGCGCCTCCTGGTGAGCAAAAATGCGGTAGGCACCATTCGACTAGTTTCAAGCACAGTGGGGAGCTAACAGTTGGTTATGCGAAGTTAACTGAGTCGTTTGTCGGGCAATGCTGCTATGACTAAGATTATGAGTCTTTAGCCCCCTACCCTGGTTTAAAATTAGTAGAGTTATCTTGTCAAACAGTTACATAAGAAAATAGACTACACGGTTGGCGGGGTGGCTGGGCAAATGGCTGTCGCCAAACGTGACGCGGGTTCGATTTCCGCACGGAACAATTCATTGTGTGATCCATAGATTGTTGTTCCGGGTCTGGGTGTCATGTGTATGTGAACTTGTATGTTTGTGAACGCACCCACGACACAGGAGAAAATCCTAGTGTGGGGTAACGTTTTTTTTAAAAAAGAACAAAAAAAAAACAGCACAATTTTAAAACATCAGTCTTATTTGAAAGTTCTATGTTTTAAATTACAGCGATCGTACCTGACAACTAATCTTCCTGAGCTCATCCAGATGCCGCCCATCACACCGTACATCAGTCTCGAATATCATGTCCCGGAATATCTTCTTAAGGTTGTTGTTGAAACAGTCTTGCAACTGTGTGACGTCGGCCTCCGTTTCACGAAGTTGGTTTAAGACTGTTTGTCTGAGTTCCGATATCGCGTTGTCTCGCGATATTTTGTCGTGGGAGTAATCGCTGGAAAGAATTATTTTTGTTGGTGAAAATTGAGTACACGCGAAATGCATAGTATAATAAATAAATAAATAAATCTTTATTCAGAAATGTAATTGGCACAGACACAAAATTATTCCTTGTGTTAGAAAAATAGATCTCACATGGTTTTTTTTAAGGGGGGAAATCATCGAATGATTGCTCCCGCCTGGGTGAGGCGGGAGGGAATGTCAGACTCTTACTGACTAAAAACCACCCCGTTCTTTCTTCTGCACGTCGCCCCGGTAACCCGTTAAGTTCTCCGCGACATCTCACATGGTTAGGTGCCTGTACTAGGATAAGCCTGTGTCATATAATAAAACTAAACAATCTTTAATACTCGAAACCTCAAATGTGATTTTTTTTATGATATAATGTAATAAGGGGTGAGCTTATTGCTGTAAAGTTTGGAGATTATGCTCGACTACATTTTAGAAGTTGTAAAAATTATGAAACCTTAAATTTTTTTTTAATTTGCTTGGGAAACCTTTAGCAGGCGCCTAGCTGTTTTGGGGAGAAAAAACTAGGGAGTGTGGGGTTCCTAGTTTCCTACCTCACTGAATCCACTCCAGTGGCCACCATCATCCTACAGGGCCACGGGTCTTCTATAATAGACCTGCAGCTGTAGTCAAATGCCATTTAGCGCTTGTCTACATGTAGAGTAGAAAACCAAATTATATGGAATTGACGTAAATTTTGACACTTGTCAGTGTCATTCCCACTACTTACTTTTAGTTTTTTCACTTTCTCGGTAGATAAGCGCAAAAATGGCGTTTGGCTAAAAGCACTGTTTCGGAACTCCCACGGTGATATTTAGCTTAACCCGACCACTGACCCCGTCGTCTTCGTCTTAAAACAACGACACAAAGTAGGCCGAGAATTTTAATCTTAATTGTATCAATTGCTTTTCCAAACTTATTCGTATTACACAAGACAAGCCATTTTTCTCCCACTCGCTCACCTGAGTATCTCCCTGATCTTCATAGAAGACAGTGTACTGACCGCGTCCACTATTTCTTGGCGCAAAGGCGCCGGCGTCTCATACGCCCGCTTCATTTTACCATGAGTCTTCTGCAGTTTCTCTATGCCTCGGACTATAAGCTGGGCTTCTTTTGTACCTGAAAAAATTTTTTAGGTGTAAAGTTATGTTTGCTTGGTAAATATTAGGCTTATTGAGAGAAAAGCACGAAAGGGCCGGCTCGACTGGATTGATACCACGGCCTCACAGAAAACCGATGTGAAGCAACGCTTGCGTTGTGTTTCGCCGTGGGACTGAGGTTACCGGAGGCCCAATTACCCTCCCCTTCCCCAATCCTGAATCCCCAACGATCCTCAAACTCCTAATCTCCAAAAGGCCGGTAACGCACGCACTTAACGCCTCTGGCGCTCCAGTTGTCCATGGGCGACTACGATTGCTTTTTTTTTTATTATTTATCGTATTTACAATAAGTACAGGATTATTCATTTAAAATAGCAACCAAAATCCACTAAGGTTTAAACTTATGCTATCATAAATCAATCTCGAAATCGAATTTTTATAAAATGAGGTTTTACAAATAGGTATATATATACGTTAACGACAACAATATAAACAACCTTGGATAAACAAACACTTTCCTAAATGACACTTATGTAATATTGCTTTAGTTTACATTTTATGTTCTTTTGCGTAATATTATTTTTTATTTCTGAGGGTATGCTATTAATGAGTCTGGGTACAATGTAAGCGGTAGTTCGTTCGCCATAGGTGTTGTTGGCGCGCTGAGTATGAAGCTTATTCTCAGAAATTGCCCGAGTGCATACAGGCAGAAATTTACAGAAGTTCCTGTAGAGTTAAATGCGTTATAAGCCTTTTGGAAAGGGCGAGGAGACTGGGCCTATGGAAATACGGCGAAACAAAACGCAAGCGTTGCTTCACGTCGATTTTCTGTGAACCGGTATCACTCCAGTTCGAGCCGACCGTTCATGCTGAAGCTTGGTTCTTGTAGTGAAAATATGAATTATAAAATGTTACTAGCTTTTAGGCTTCGCTCGCGTCACAAAAAGATAAAAGTAGCCTATGTGACATATACACAGCGTCATCTATACCAATACTTTCGTATTCCCTCGAGAATATCAAATTTTTCCGGGATAAAAAGTACCCTATTATTTAATTTTAATCCAGACTTCTGACTTTACGTCTGCAAAAATTCAAAGCAATCGGTTTAGTAGTTATCGCTTGAAAGCGGAACAAACAAACAAACTCACTTTCCGATTTATAATATTAGTAAGGATTATCTCTGCCTCGTTGGCCGAGTGGCCGCAAGTGCGACTGCCGGGCAAGGGGTCTCGGGTTCGATTCCCGGGTCGGGCAAAGTATTACTGGGTTTTTTTTTTAAATCTCAGTAGTAGCATGCAGTCTGGAAATGTGCCCGGTATATGGCAATAGGCTCACCCCCTATTATATGGGACTCATAACATAAATAGTAAAAAGTGGGTGTTACTTCTGTGTGCATCTCTGCCTACTGCTTCGGGGATGGAGGGCGTGTAGTTATGTTATTTTTTACGACGTTTAAACGTATATTTGAGTGTTGTCTTTAATAACAAAAATTACAACTGGACTTACTTGCATACCTAATTTGATGGCTTTCAGCAGGTCCTGCTGCAGTATGTCCTGGGCGCTGCCCTCCATCATCACAACTAAGTTCCTGTTGGTAGCAGCCACCACCAGGTTTAAGATAGACTTCTGCAGATCCTTGCGAGTTGGATTGATTATTACTTCATTATCTATTTGTCCTATTCTGTAATGAAAGGAATGAAAAATTATTCTTTTTGTTGGTTGAAACGACGCAATCGCCAAACTGCCAAGCGGAGGGTCTCAGGTTTGATGTCCGTATGATGAAGCTTTGATGAGTGATGATGAGGCCAGACAGAAATAATCTCTGGACTTTTTAGTTTTTCGAATATTTCTTGGTAATAGCACAGTCAGGACTTGTGCCCATTGTATGGTTATAAGTACACACCTAACTGGAACTCCTATCCTCTACTACACTGGACTGATCAGTGGGTATTATATTTTACTAGTTTCTGCCCGCGACTTCGTACGCGCAATCCCGTTTTCTCCCGTTCCCGTAAGATTTTCAGGAGTTTTTCTATCATAAGAACCTTCTACTGACAATAACAAACACAACAAAAAATCAGCCAAATCGGTCCAGCCATTCTCAAGTTATGGCGTGGCAACGGGAAACGGGTTTCATTGTCATATATATAGGTAGATGATATTACATTGTATAAAGCACGTCTGCTGACCCCTTCAAGGTTTAGTAAAGCGTGACGTTAAATTACACACCTGACAGCCCCAACAGGTCCATTCCAAGGCACATCAGACAGTGCTAAAGCCGCACTGGCAGCATTTATAGCAACAGTCTCCGGTGGGTTTGTAGAATCAACCGCAAGCATGTTACATACTATTTGAGTATCAAAGAAATAATTCTGTGGGAATAGCGGTCGCAGGGAGCGATCAATGAGCCGAGATGTTAGGATTTCACGTTCCGTTGGACCTGAAATTAAATAAGTTATTACAATAATGAACCTTAGATGTAGATAGGGAGAGGTTTTTCAACCCATTGAAATTCTAACCCTAAGGTTGACTGTTAGAGAATGCCACTAGGCATTAAGCCATTGTATACAATTGCAAGAAGAGTAAATAAATAAATAAATAAAATAAATAAATTCATCCCCTAAATTTGTTCATACAAAAGTAGCCTCTAAACATTGGAAATAAGGTCCATAATGTAGTTAGTGGAGGGCAGTCACCGGTGACCGCTTGGGGATGTATGGGTTAGTGACTGACAGTGTGTGTGATAGATGACTGCTCGTTTGGTGCGGTGGCTGGGTAACTGGCTGCCGCACAACGTGTCGCAGGTTTGATTCCTGCACGGAGCAAATCTTGGTGTGATCCACAGATTGTTGTTTCGGGTATGGGTGTAATGTCTATGTGAACTTGTTTATTTGTAAACGAAACTGGAGAGTAGTGTGTGGGCAACATTAAAAAAGAATTGAAATGGAATTCTTTGCCAGTCTGTATTTCCTGAAGGGTAAACCTGGGTGTCTTCAAGGCCCTAGTGAATAGGTTGCTTATGGTGCGACGTGCATCATCGTTGACCGCATCATCGCTTACCACCAGGCGACATAGTGGTCAAATGTCGGCCCAAATATAAAAAAAAATCTAAAATAACGGTTTACTGAAGTAACTATACTGAGAAAAGCCTTTCTAGTTTCAAGTCACAAAGGGACTCTTGAGCAGCGTGTGCGATCACAGCAATGTCGCACAACCTACTGAACTATGACTAAACTGTTATTCTTAGTTAATTCAGTGTGCCTCACAATAAAGTTATTTGGAGGTACATTTCCAATTGGCAAAGAAGGAGGAGAATTATTTGTAATGTAACAGCAAGGAGTCTGGTATACATACAGTATGCCAGATTTACTATAGGAATAAAATCATTTGTTAGGATGTAAGTATATAAAATGTAGATTATACCTAATTCTCTTCTAAGAAAATTGGTTGGTATTCGTCCAGCAGCTGCAGCTTTCTGTCTATAGTCCACTACAAGCGGCAGAAATGACGAAGAACTTTGTTTTGCTCTGGATACCACTGTAGATAGTATAGCAGTGTTCCCCAGTGTAGCCACACAGGCACCATCTGCAAACCTTGCATACTGGCCAGTTTTTATATTCAAAGATGTCCTGGAACCAAAAAGGTTTTGATAACATAAGGTTGAATTATCTATTGATAAGGTTTTTAATCTGTATGCATGGGATAAATAGCAGATAATTGTAGTAGGACTTACTTTACAGCAATAAGTTGCTGTTGTTTTATTATCAGAAATAATCAAATAAATATAACTCGGCCTTAACCTTTTTAAACATAACCTAAAACTTACCCTTTAGAAAACGGTATTTCGACCTCACCAACGCTTGTTTGTGCCGTATAACACCGAGAACATCTCTTTTTATGAATTAATCGTGATAAAAACAAAGGTTTTCTTGCTAACATAGCGAAATTTTTTTATATAAATAAGGTTAAAAAAGGACGTTGTTGTGACAGTCTCAAGTTGTCTTTCTTATTAGAAAATCTATTTTCAATTTCAACTGTTTAAGAAATTGTTGAATCTTATCAGAAGATTTTAAGGTCAAAAGCTTTAAAATAATAAATTAATATTTTGGAGTGCCTAATTTAAAAATCGGGACTTTTTCAGTTTCAGATGAATGTAATCAACATGACATAAGCGTTCCAACCTACAAAAATCTGATTTGACGCAAAAATAGTATACCTACACTTGGCCGCTTTCCGGCGCACTCTCTCTTTTACTTTTCGCTAAGTAGGTATTGCATCTCTTTCTAAATGTCAAATAAAATTTGCTTACAAAGTCGACAATGCCGTGTACCTGGAACGTTTACTTCCGTCCAGAAACTAATAAACACCTAGTTATTTTTCTCTCGTCTTATGTAACAATAAATAAGTAAATTGTTTTTGTTTTTCACTTATTAGGTACTACCCGTTTGAAGCACCTTTCATTGAATTAACAATTTACACATTTCTACGACATCTAAGAGCAGAAAAGCAAAATTTCTAAACGTACTTTGTTTACAAGTTGCTGTCAGTTTCAGCTGTTCAAGTGTTCAGGTTCAGTTGGGTTCAGTGAATAAATACTATTATGTACAATTGTACATATTAATATACTCTATGAAATACAATATAATTAGAACTTGGACGAAAATAAATTCATTGTCCTAAGATAATATTGTGTGTACTTGGCTGGATTTGTAAACCAATTCAACAATTTGTATTTTGAATATTCGAAGCTATGGCATCGCAGGAGCCCGAAAAGAAAGCAGATGTAAACAGAGTAAAAAAGGTTCATGGAAATGATTCCTTTCAACGAATGAATTTTCTGTACCAAGTAAGTATGCAGACTTTGTTGAAGAAACATTTTTTATACAAACCTCAAGTCAGCACCATATAGACCTAGGCTAAGGCCATATACCTGTAGTCCTAGGCTATAACACTATAGTTATCAGATCTTCAGAGGGCATGTCACTGGACCTGTACTTAACATATTGTATGTCATATCATTACATAAGTATTGTTAAATGTCTCTAGATTAAAATAACAAGAAGAGAATCTGTCTAGATTAAAATTACAAGAATAAAGTAAAAGTATTTTTTTATTTAATAGGCTATATGCTTCATGCACAAAATGTACAAAAAGGTGGACTTAATGCCGCAGGCATTTTCTACCAGTCTGACCTTTGGGTGATGCAGAGAAGAGTAAATGGTAAAAGTAGCTGTCAGATAAGACACCGTTACATTGTGCCATAGTTTCTAATATTTTCATTTGTTATTATTAATTTACTCCCATGTGGCGTTACCGACTGCTCGGCTCCTGTAGGTCGTAACGTGATATTTTGTAGCCTATAGACTTTTTCGATAAACGTACTATAAGTATAACACAAAAAATAATTATCCAATTCGATCCAGTAGTTTCTGAGATTAGTGCTCTCAAACAAATAAATAAAGTTAAATCACACAGTAACTCAAGTTTTAAATTATTTAATCCATGCACTTCCGCGCGGCTGCACCCGCTCTGCTCGGCTCCTATTAACCGTAGCGTAATGTTTTATAGCCTATAACCTTCCTCGATAAATGGACTATTCAACACAAAAGGAATTATTGAAATCGGTCTGGTAGTTACGTAGATTACCATGTTCAAACAAACAATCACACAAACAAACAAACTCTTCAGCTTTATATAGTAGTATAGGATAGTAGTTTTTGTTGCTATAATTTGCTTTATTTTATTTTCAGATCAGTAAACACATAGCAGACAAGAACCCAGCTTTATCAGCTTATTATGGAAACCTAATAGTTGGCGTAGCTAAGAAAATGGTTTTGAAAATGTAAGTGAATAATAATGGTTAAATTAATATTACACAAAAAAGCTTGTTATCGCCAACCCGCATTGAGCAAGCATGGTGATCAATGCTCAAACCTTCTCCATGTGAGAAGAGGCTTTGCTCAACAGTGGGCATTTATAGGCTGTTGATGATGATGACTATTACATACTCCTGCAGTTTCACCCCGCTCTTCTTGGCTTCTATAGATTATAGTATGATGTTTTATGATCTATTACCTTCCTCGATAATAAACTATCCAGGTGAAAACGAATTATTGGAATCAAATCAGTTGTTCTAGAGATTAGCGCTTTCAAACAAACAAACCCTCAGCATTAAGAGTTATATCACAATCACTAGATAGTCACTATCACTACATCATCACTACATGTAAAAAAAAACGAAGTCTATCCGCCGTCTGTCTGTCCCTACGTAGGTATGCTTAGATCTTTAAAACTACGCAACGGATTTTGATGCGTTTTTTTTTAAATAGATAGTGTAATTCGTAAGGAAGGTTATTATGTATAATACATGCATATTGCACCCGTGCGAAGCCGGGGCGGGTCGCTAGTTAATTTATAAGTTACAGTGTATTTATAACATATAACACAACTTTGTGTAGAATTGTGTGTTACACAAAGTATGGAGTGCACAATCGTTCAAGTTTTGTTATAAAGTCCTCATTATGTTTATTCAATCAAGGAAGGACTTGCTAGATCTTTTATTTTTATCCTTGTATTCCATTTTAAACATAATTATAATTATGTGTGTTTCTTCATTAGGTACTTATGATATTTATTAAATCTTATATTTTTAATTTTTACAGACATCCAGATATTAAACGGCAATTTTGCAAAAAATGTCGATGTGTTGCCATCCATAAGGTAACAGCCACAATGAAAGTAAAAAGAAAAAATAAATCAAAAACCATTCAGTGGACTTGTGACATCTGTGGTACCAAGAGAAATTTTCCCGCCAATGAAAAACATGACCACAGATTATGGCTAGAAAAACCAGAGGCTATACTTGAAGTTATTAATTAATAAAATTGTTATAACCACTTATAATTTTATATTTGGTATGAAATATAAATGGTTAAAAAGAAAAATAAACCCTGTTTTTCATTGATGCACACAACAATAGAAAAACACACCTAACCTAACAATTTTTTAAAATTATTGTAATTTACTATAGTACGTATATAATTATGTGGGTACCCTATTAACCGACTTCCAATAAGTTATCAATTACGAGTAAAGCACACCTTCCTCAGTCGCCATACCTGTCGCCGATCAGCATTGTGGATACTTTTCGAATGCCTTGTCAGTTAGGTATTTGTGGTGCTACTCAAACCAACGATGCGACGCTCGGATGTCACATGGCATCCCGATGAGGCAGAGCTCTTATCTATGCAGTCACTATATGGTCTTGTATATTTGATACGCGGTCACTCCTTCACTGTAACCTGATTTTCAGGGTCGTAGACGACAATACTGACGCGCGACGATCTTCGTCCACTTTAGGCGCGGGTTTGCGGACGGCGAGGGCAGCTTAATGCTCAATTAGAACCAGACTTTGGTCGTACGACGCATAGGGTTCCTCGCGCGCTTCAAAGAGCCTTCAGACCACCACATATCGGGCCCAGTAGGGTTGATGCCTGACCCGGAGCTGCGGACAACCTAACGGGTTACCGGGGCTCCTGCTCAAAGCAGGAATAGGAACCGAATGATATGGTTTTAAGTCAGTAAGAGTCTGACACTCTCTCGCCTCATCTAAAGCGGGAGAAGTCATTTATTGATTATCTCCCCTTAAAAAAGCTTGACTTCTAAGGTTAGCCATAATGTACCCTTCTATGTACCGCGGTCCCGGTATACATCAAGAAGGCTTCCCTTTGCCCCGTACTGGTGTAAGAGGAACTGGGTAGCTGTCTCCTGCGAAGTTGTTATACTTGCGTTGAGGAAGCGGTGTGGCTTGCAGTTTTCAAAAATTATTTTACTTTTCTTACGGTATTTCAGATATCTAGGTTCCCTAATTTAACCTTAGCTAAACTTAGTCTGCGTTTTTGTGTAGGTAATAGATAATAATGAACATAAGGCTGGTTACACTTATAAAGTTGATTACAAACTACACTACATAAATGGTTTTGATTCGTAGTTCGTATGTATTTATTTAAACTTAATTAGGTACACATGGCCAACACACCCAGAATCGGAAACAACAGACAGGGTACGGGGTGACCCGCGCGGGAATCGAACCCGTGGCATGTTGCTCAATCGCCACTGCTCTAAAAGTACCTCTAATATGATATGTGTGGGCGTGGTAAATGTAACCATTTTTTGAGGTTTGGTCTTTATTTTTGTGTCTTTCTGGGTGTTTTTTTGTTACAAATAAATAGGTACCAATTTATTGAACCACTTGCATAAAATAAATGTACCCATAAATATTTAATGGCTTCAACATTTATTGTAATACTTACCGATAAACATTTAACTGCTCTACGCTTTTGAATAAATATTTCTGATAGGATACATGTTAGACATGTTGAAGTAAAATGCGGTATTTTTATTTAACGATACTGATTTTGTTGCAAAGCGTTATCGACGCAGCAATATTCCCGGATTTGAAAAGCAATGGTTTAGAAACTTCGTACGAAGATTATAAGACAAATCCTGGTCTCCAAAAAACTATGAGACATTTCCAAAATGAGAAAGACGATAACGTACAAGAGAATATTCAGATGAAACATATGAAAAATGACAAAAACTTAAACGTCTATATGGATTTGCTTGCTTCGAAATTGGCTGAATATGATCATAGAGGCGCTTCACGAAAACATTTAAATGGACATCCCATATTTAATGAGTTAGAAAATAAAAGGCTTAGAAGTTTGAGAAGGCAACGTCTGACCGAAGATGTAGACACTTCAAGCGATAGTTCTAGCAGATCAAGGGAACTGAAAAGGGAAATGGAGGAGAGAGACGAAGAATGGCTTTTAAAAAAAATGCAGGCACTTAATTCATCGGCACTTAGAGGTGACGTGGCCAATATGGCAGCCGCTAGTAAGTATTTTATTTTACTTAAACAGGATAAATAAAGACTTAACCTCTGGGTTACTGACAAGTGACTATATTTTTTTTATTTTAGGACCATGGTCCGTTCCTTGTGGAGATCCAATACAACATGATATGCCATGGGGTACCTGCATGCTAAATATACAATGTGAGCCCGAGTATAGAATATATCGCGGCGACTCCTTCTGTGGAAAGACTAAGTTCGTTTGTTGCGCACTCCAGCTGACTAACTACGACTTGTATAAAGGGCTGGACCTTTCCGCGGCCGGCACGAGTTTCTCCACAGATTCGAATGAAGATTATTATAACAAAATTTTAGGATCACGTGAAATTGAACACAAAAAAAATCGTCGAGAAAGGAAACAACGTAAATTGGACAGAGCCAAGAGGAAAAAGAAAATGATAAAGAGTATTAAAAGGATAGTACAAGAAATTAAAAGTATATTGAACAAGGCATATAGTAACGCCACTAATATACGACAAAAAAGGACATCGCGAATTAGACAGATGATATATAAAATGAAGGAGCAATTTCGGCTAGATCGTAAAGCTGTAATAACTGCGCATCATTCAGAACTAAAGGGTAAAGATTTAGCTTTACAAGCGAAGCTTAACCGTATTAAAAACCTTAACGAGGAGTTTATGACTAATGATACGTTTAGAAGTATCATTATAAATGGCACGGTTGATAAAGAGAAGTTGCAGGCAGTATTACGGCAGTATCCGCAGCTGCAGGAATATATGAAAGCTGAGAGACGTGTGGATGGTGGTGACGCAGATACGGAATCGGAAGAGACGGTAGCTCAGAAACTGAAGATAGAGGATGCGAATCCTAAAATGGAGTATTACGACGTCGAATACGGAATGATGTATTTTTGAGTAATAAAAGCTTATGCTTCATTTATGTATATTCAAATTGTCTGTTGTTTTCAATGACTTCTAATTTGGTATTAAAACTATTTACCTAATGATATTCTCTCCCCAAAAAAAGAATGTTTAACCGTAGGTCTACATACTTAAGTACACACATCATATCAAATCACCTACAGTCAGCGGTCCATTGCTATACTATGAGCCTCTTCCATAAGAGGGTTTGCCAGCGTGGCAGGTCGGTTGAAAAGTGTCAAACTGACGGTCAGATCACCTTAAGTGTAAGCTGAATGTTCTAGCTAGGGTACCGCGAATTTAAAATTTTCTTAAGCTAATTTAGTGAAGTTCTACGATGTTTTAAGAAAAACTTGACGTTGTTGACCTTCTCTAATTTACATACTTATTTTGATCGTTTTAACAAGTATCACTGTAAACACATATATTTCACTTCCGCGAATATAGATAGTATTTTTTTTAAACTGTCAAACACCAAGCGGTCACCGGTGACCGCAACCTATTGTTCTATAATTGTGTCTACAAAACCGGTACTCGACGAGTTAAGGGGGAAAATCATCGAAATCATGGCTGGGGAGACAGACGTCCGGCAGAGTACTCGAAGGAGGGAAGCAGCCTCCCAGAGCCGCTAACGTGGCGGAACCTGCTGCAAACATGGCGGTAGGTCGAGGCCTGCCGGGTGTAGTGATTCCGCTTACGGAATTACCTGGGTTGCCCTTAGGCAACCTCGGTCACGGTTACAGGCAGTGGAGGAACACTGCGGTGGTGTTACCCTATAAGAGTCCGGCGCGTCGTCCCGTCGTCCCCACGACGTGGGAAGTCCATGAAGATTTCCATCGCGATAGAAAAAATAGCCTAGCCTAGCCAGTAGGTCTCTAATATATTTAAAAAAATCAGTTTCTACGCGACTGGAATATTTATTTTGAACTTTTGTAAAAAGTCTGTGGTAGTTACTATTATTATGCCTTTCGTAAAATGACCATTAAACCCAATTAAATCACCAATCAAAGTCCTTGCATTAAACAAAACAGTTTTACGTATGTTGTACGAAACTGCCCCACACATTTACTACTTACACCGTTCTTCTTATCATCAGAAGCGTCAGTAGTCGGTCAAGGCTGATGATGGTTCATCTAATTGGCGTGAACTAAGGGCTGGCGTTCTACTATCTCCTCTTTTATTTTCTATCTTCATTAATTTTATAACTTCCGAACTTCAGTGTACATATCATCTGTACGCTGATGGCTTGCAACTATATCGTCAAGCTGGCGTTGATGGGCTGTCTATCTGCATTGAGAACTGGTCCGATAGGTTCGGCATAGCAGTGAATTACTTTATCTATTTTATTCTATCTAGTAATTCGTCATAGCACTTTGTGCGTCGTCACCTGTCAGTTAAAGTTAAGCGGTAAGATTCTATGAGAAGTAGTACCCAAGCATTGCATAATACACAATATGTATTATGCAATTTGTAATTTACAGACTTAATATAGATGTGTTAGCTTGAGGAGGGGAAATCATCGAATGACTTCTCCCGCTCTATCCCGGGTGAGGCGAGAGGGAGTGTCAGACTCTTACTGACGAAAAACCACCCCGTTCCTACTCCTGCATTTCGAGCCGGAGCCCCGGCAACCCGTTAAGTCATCGGCGGCTCCGTATCGACATCAGCCTTATTGGGCCCAATCTGTGGAGGTGTGTTAGCATGCACAGTCGTATTTGTACCATGATTTTTATGAACCCACCGTGTCTTTTTTATAATGACTAAAATGTTGAATAAAGGAATTAACAAGTACACAAGAAGTACTTTCTTGTAGGTAATATTATCTCTTTTGTTTCTAAAATTAAAGCAGTGAGTTGCGCGACGCCGTCGTGACCGCCCACGCTGATCATGAGGAAGAACCTCTCTGTGGTTCGAAATTAGTAGAGCTTTTCTCAGTATATTCACGTGAGTAACCCGAGATTTTATATAAAATGAAAAAGGTTTACCAATCAATAGATGGAGGTACCTACCTTAATTATCTTCGAATAATTCGATATAGAAAGGTTACTAAAACATCTGTGTTAAGATTTTGATTTTCCACCTCTCGCAGTATATATGTTGTACCTACCTACAATACTGGGCACCCTGTATAACGCAGACTGGTCCTACTTAAATGTTACACTGATCATAATTCGATATGAGCAGACCCGGTATTCGTGCTGCCTAATTTTGTAGTTTCCTTATGGCAGCATCAGCATGCAATAAAACCAGATGCTCATCAGACATACGTCATTAGATTAGCGATTCTGATTTAACACCTCGTTATCTATGAAAAAGTACTACAGCAGCAGAACCAATCGCTTTCCTAGGAATGTTCCGTAACAGGAGCACTTTTAGAGGTCCCGGTGCCACGCGTCCAAGGCAGCAGTCGACCTATAGCGACACTTGCAGCTGTAGCCTTCTTCGAAGTTGAAATGTCAAGGGCTGATGTCGACGCGTCAACGGATGCCGCCGACGCATCGACCGTTGCAGTTACCTCTGCTGTTGACAACATGCCGTTCTTGAGTAAGAGCTCTAAATCGTTAAGTGGTAGCCATGTGGTGGTAGCATAGGGAGCGAAAACATTTTTTAAAGTCCATCTTGAAAATTAATTAACCGGTTTTATAGTTTCTATCGATTAAAACACTTACGACGATGTACATAGTCTGCAGAGTTATTTGACATACAGGTACGAAAATAAAGATTGGCTCTTACAGAGAGAGTAACCATTGGTTCGCTATTGAGCGATGCTGGCGATAGTAACAGTTATACATAATAATTCCTTTAGTTAGTCTGACGAAAGTTTACCTCTTCTCACACAGATAAATTTGAGAATTTTTATTATGCTTGCTCAAGACGGATTGGCGAATTCATTATAATAAGAAATTCGATTTCCTCACGATGTTTTCTTTAACCATTAGGTATGTCACTAGTATCTAAATAATCTTAGATAGTACTAACTTGGGAAAAGTCACCTACTTCCTAGGTTACACCTCCGTGCTACTGCGGCATTTTTAATGACGGCATTCGTTACGAATTTTTTTTTCTTAAACAATATTGCGCAACATTACGATTTTCTCCTGTGTCGTGAATGCGTTTACAAACATACAAATTCACATACACATGACACCCAGACATAAAACAAAAAATCTTTGGACCACTCACATATAATATAAAATATCATTTGACTGCAATCAGAAGGTTTAGGTTTAGGTAATAAATAATAATAATAAAAATCTTTATCAATACATAGTATAAAACAAAGTCGCTTTCGCTGTATGTCCGTATGTATGCTTAGATCTTTAAAACTACGCAACGGATTTTGATGCGGTTTTTTTTAATAGATAGAGTGATTCTTAAGGAAGGTTTGTATGTATATACATATTGCACCCGTGCGAAGCCGGGGCGGGTCGCTAGTTTTCTATAAAATACTCTAGGAATACAAATTAAAAATACATAGTTTATTTTTGTTCGCAAAAAAGTTGTAAGTACACAATGAGTCTCTACGTTTCTTTGTTAGATCAAATCGGGAATGAGGAGATCCGCAAAACTAACAAAAGTGGCTCAAAAATCCCAGTGGGCAATACGACACGGAGCATCGACAGCCAATGGGGTAAAAAGGTACTAAACGGACCCACGTACCGGCATGCATATTACATTACAGGACGTCCACCCATTTATGGTTTACCAGGGCTCGCCTCAAACAAAGAGTAGGAACGGGATGGTTTTTAGTCAGAATACTTAAGTCATTAGAGCATTGCTTAGAGTGTTACTCTCAATATGTTATTGCACATTATCAAATAAATATACTCTATAGCTTAAACCTATTTGTAACTACAAAACACTTATCAAATTAGAAAATGTTTTTGCATTTTCTATGATCATATCCAAAGTCAAAGCATTTATTAATATTAATCCTTAGGCACTTTTGAAACGTCAGAATTTGAATTGTCCGTCTGTCTGACTGTCAATGAAGCTAGTATCCACGTAAAATGTACCGTAATTGTCAGCCACATCTACTGCTATATACAAACTTCCTTCAACGACTTCCAGGCTGGAAAGCTGGAAGCACCCTGGAACATTTCGCTTCCTGCGACCTTTGTCGTCGTAGGTCGTCTCCTAAAGGGTGGACGTCGCTCGCAGCCCCGGATCTTCAATTTTTTTTAGGCGGGGCGAAATAAATGTTCGTGCATGTCTCACTCCGCGCTCAGGGTATCGGTCAAGTTGATATGGCCATGAAATTGCTGCACTTGTGCTATTATTTATACCGTGGTCAAAGTTAAATAAATGATGAGTTGTCTATTGGTCTGTGAAGTGTGACTTTGGCTGTCCCCTGAATTTGCCGCCCGGGGCATAGGCCCCGGCTTGCCCCCCCCCCCCTAGATCCAGGGCTGGGACGTCGAACTTATTAAATGATTTCTCTCACTTAAGGGGAGACAAGAATCTTCTTTTAGTCCTGGACTGCTGGTGTAAGACTACATACTCCCATTTTTTATGGGACAAGCATACATACTCCCTTCTATCATAAGACTTGTAATATATGCATATTTTTAGTCATAAAACATGTGCTGGTCTGCTTACATTTTTGGTGAATAAAAGGCGCAAAATGTTAAAAAGATTTCTTGTATTTATTTGGTATGTATGTACCTATTTACTAATATTTGAGGTGTTATTTCTTGCTGTTCAGATAAATTTACATAAAGTAAATGTATCGATAAATATTTAATGGCTTCAATGTTTATTGTAATACTTACCGATAAACATTTAACTGCTCTATGCTTTTGAATAAATATTTCTGATAGGATACATGTTAGACATGTTGAAGTAAAATGCGATATTTTTATTTAACGATTTTATTTTTGTGCCTTAGCGCAGTACAAGAATATTCGTTTTCACGTGTAAAACCTACTGAACATCCAAAACGGCATAGAGCTGAAACCAACGAACATGACCATGGCAACCGAAAACCTAAAAATGAAATGAGACATTTCCAAAACGAGAAAGAAAAACACGTAAGAGATGAAAAATTAAAAGATGGAGGACATATAAAGGATGATAACGAAAAACAAGGAAGACATGTGAAAGATAAAAAACCAAAAGGCGCACGGCATGTCAAAGTTGAGAAATTAAGAGACAGAAAACATAAAGATGATAATGTAAAACTAAAAAGAAATGTTAAAGAAGAAAAATTGCAAGACGCAAGACATATAAAAGACGAAAACTTAAAAGAACCAAGGCACGCAAAAGATGAAACATTAAAAGAAAGAAGACATAGAAAAGATGGTAACGAAAATCAAGTAAGGCATTTAAAAAACGAAAAATTGAAAAAGGTAAAGCATAAAAAAGGCGAAAATTTAAAAGAACCAAGGCACACAAAAGATGACACATTAAGAGAAAGAAGGCATAAAGATGACAATATAAAAGAAGGAAGGCACATGAAAAATGAAGAGCCAAAAGAAACACGACATGTGAAAGCTGACAGACATGTTAAAGATGATAAATTAAAAGATTCAACATCACAGAATACTACCAGAAAACATCCAAAGGATATGAGACATTTGCAAAACCTAAAAGGGAGTGACGTAAAAAATGATAAACTGAAGGTTTCAACATTAGAAAGGAATGCTAAAAGTCATGAAAATGTAACGACAACCAACAACGGGCCCGGTGTACCTATAACAAAGTTACCAGACAAAATTCTACATAAGATTAAAGGACGTGTCGCTGTAAAACATTTGCTTGGCAATCACACGTCACACCACAGAAAGCATAAAAAGTCAGGATCTCATAAGACAAAGGATGATAAATCAAAACCGGGTTTTAGAGCACGTGACAGTTATTCATATACTTCTAGTAGTTCTACTCAGGAAAGGTGGCCAGAAGAATGGGATGACCATTGGATGCAGAAGAAATTGGAAGCACTTAATTCTTCGCAGGTTAGGGGCGACGTCATCAATATGGCGGGTGCTAGTAAGTATTTCAATACTTACCTGTTCTATGCAATATTTTTATTTTACGCCATGTCTGGGTTAGGTTAATTAAGATTCATGTGGTTTGGGTATTAATATTATGTATAATATGATATTATGTACCTGCTTTTGCTGCAGTTATTATGTAATTATTAACTTATAAAATTGGTTATAGGGCCATGGGCATTTCCTTGTGGAGATCCAGGGCAACATGATTTACCATGGGGCACATGCATGCTAGCTCAAGAATGTGACGCCGAATATCGAATCTACCGCGGTGACTCTTTTTGTGGAAGGACTTCTTTGGTATGTTGTGCACTTCAGTTGTCCAACTACGACTTCTATCATGGAATCGATATATCCTTTGGCGGCACCAGTTACTCATCGAATTCTCAAGAAGACGCTATTCATATAGTTGGGTCAAAAGAACGTAAGCGGAGATTAGAAAAGAAAGAAAAAGAAAGACGTAAACATGACAGAGCCAGAAGGAAAAAGAAAATGCAAAAGAGTATCAAAAGTATTGTTCAAGAAGTAAAAACTATTTTGAACAAAGCATTCAAAAATGGTACATCGGAACGACAGAGAAAGATTAATCGTATAAGAGATTATATAAACAATATGAAGAAGCAATATAGAAAGGATCGCGAAAATCTTGTAAAACTGCATCATGACCAGATGATAGTGACCGATGAGAAGTTCCAAGTTAAGCTTAACCAGGTCAAAGGTTTGAACCAAGCGTTTATGACTAATGATACATTCAGGGATATTATTGTTAACGGGACTATTAACAAAGATAAACTCACGGTGTTGTTACGTGAACAGCCGCAACTGACGCAATATTTCAAGACTAGACGTTCAGGTGGCGGGGAGCCATATCTAGGCCCAGATAAAGAGGTGACAGGTGAAGACAAGTATAAGCATGAGCGCCAAGTCATGGATACCAAATCTAAGTCTCAGGAATATGATGTGGAGTATGGAGTTCTATATTACTGAGTAATTAAAATCAATGTCAATATTTTTTTTCTTTTTTAACCGACTTCAAAAAAAGGAGGAGGTTCTCAATTCGACCGTATATATGCTTTTTTTTATATTTGTTCGCCGATAGCTCCGTTGTTTATGAAACCGATTTTGAAAATTCTTTTTTTGTTAGAAAGAAGAGTCCCATGATAAGGAAATCAGGATCTGATGATGGAAGATCAGGGAAATCGAGGGGAACTTTAAAAATTGTAGGGGTGTCTAGGACATATGTTAATTTTTTCATTAAGTACTGAAAACCACTACAATCTGATAAAGGTCTGGAGCCGATCTGATGATGGAGCCAAGAGCCAGTCGAGGGAACTCCTCAACGGTTAACAGTAGCTACCTTGTGTTCGGGTTTGATTAATTTGTATTGATGAGGACTTTACACCTGGGTGGGGTGTAATTGTCAATAAGGGTCTGATGATGAAGTAGTACGATAGTTGAGGAAACTTCTTAACGGTTAACAGTAGCTATTTTGTTTTTGGGTTTGATTAATTTGTATTGATGATGACTTTACACCTAGATGTGGGGGGGGGGGGGGGGGGTGATGGTCATTAAAGGTCCAATGATGAAGTAGTATGATAGCTAAGAGACTCCTCAATGGTTAAGAGTACCCACCCTGTGTTTGAACTTGAATAATTTGTATTGATGAAAACTTTGCATCCATGTGGGTTATGTATAATATGACATATCAAAGCACTAAACTAAAAAGTATAAAATTAAATTAAAAAAAAACTGCGTTTAAAAAAACTGACTTCAAAAACTAATGACAAACGAAAAGTAAAAACTGAAAAGGAAATAAATAATTATTAGTGGTCATATGTACTTATAGCTTACACACCCACTGATAGGTTAGAAGTCGGTGCCACAAAGCCACAACAAAATATAAAGTAGTTAATGGTCACAGCTGGTACCTATAATCCATAATAAAATTGTAAACAACTCGATAATGTATCTATTAAGGTTTTAATGAATAATTTTGTTTAAAACTTGTGGCACCGACTTCTAACCTATCAGTGGGTGTGTTTGTTTTTTAGTTTTTACTTTTCGTTTGTCATTAATTTTTTGAAGTCGGTTTTTTTAAACGCAGTTTTTAAAATTTTATTTTAAATTCAAGTGAATCCCCGTAATAGCTTCGTTTAAATCAAAGAAGCGGTTTTCGTCGAAGTCTAATAAATCTCTACTAATATTATATGCAAAAGTAAGACTGTGTGTTTATTTGATTTCTTCAACCAATCATCTTGTTATTTTGCTTGTATATAGTTAAAGGGCACGGTAAATGAGACAGATAGGTTACTTAATACATAACTGTTCAATAAGGTTACTCAACTAGTTTCATGCCACAGTAGGGGCCCATAATTGGGCTCGCTGCCATCGCAGCGGTAAGTCCCCTCTTTGAGGAGTGGCTTGAAAGACGCTACGGCGTCCTCACCTACCGCCTGACGCAGGTCCTCACCGGACATGGCAGTTTCGGGAGGTACCTGTGTCTGATGGGGCGGGAGGAAACGCCCGGGTGTCATCACTGCGAGGACCGTCCTGAGGACACGGTGGAACACACTGTAGCGGAATGCCCTGCGTGGGCTGAGCACCGCCGTGCCCTCAGGGAAGTGATCGGCGATGGCGACCTCTCGCATCCGGGCCTAGTGCAGGCCATGATGCGGAGCGAGGGGGATTGGGATGCCGTCTCCTCCTTTAGCGAAGCAGTCATGCTAGCTAAGGAGGAGGCGGGACGCGTGAGGCAGCGAAGCGCTGCCTCCTCGCAACCCAGCCACACCGGGCGTCGGGGATCGCGGGACGATCTCCGGCCACCGTAAGCGCGGGCCTGCGGACGGCGAGCATGAGTGGCTCCCCGTCCGACCAGAAACAGACCCGAGCGTACGGCGCGTCGCGTTCAGCGCGCGCCTCAAAGAGCCATCAGACCACCACAGATGGGGCCCAATAGGGCCGATGCCGATTCGGAGTCGCGGAGAACCTAACGGGTAACCGGGGCTCCGGCTCGACGTGCAGGAGAAGGAACGGAGTGGTTTTTAGTCAGAAAGAGTCTGACACTCCCACCGCCTCACCCAGGCGGGAGCAGTCATTCGATGATCTTCCCCCTTAAAAAAAAAAAACAGGGGCCCATAATCATGAGTCGTAACCTCACAAACTAAAGAGTGTTATGAACTAGTAGAGTGATATCGTCGAAAAGTTTTTACGTGTCCCTGTTAATTTAATATGTCTTACGATTTATCGACGAAGTAGTGGTACAAAATGAGGGTTCATGCACCAGTAAGATACTCTCTGGTTACTAAATTAAATAAAAAACCAGTGACAAATAGATATCAAATCATTTGCATGACAACAACACTTCACACTATTGTGTTATCATTATGGTCATCAACATTCCAAATCAAATGCCGTAAGACATTAACATGGGCCTCTAACTAAGAATACAGGCATCCCCTATTTTTGTAATTAAATTTTCGACTTTATATTCAAACGATAGTGTTGACAAACTAATAAAGAAATTTGTCAGAAACGAGTAGGTTGATCTCCTGCCCTCTGTACCTAATAGGGTAGTTTCCTAAATTATATTTAATGTCCGTCTGGTAGATTATTTTAAAACACGTATTTTTATTTTCTCACAAAATTAAATGCTTTTGACGATATATTGATTTGAAATGTCGTGTGACGTCACAGCGTGCTATAAAATGTAGCACGTTGTGACGTAACGACCTTCCACTCCTAAACTTAACTCCATTTTATCTAAGTATTGTAACTTTATACGAGAAAATAAAAAAAAATACGTGTCTAATATTTTTTTATTATCTAACTGACGGACTAATTAGTTTTTTAATTTTCTTACTCTGGAAACCACCCTATTGTAAATTAAACTGTCAAACACCAAGCGGTCACCGGTGACCGCAACCTATTGTTCTATAATTGTGTCTACAAAACCGGTACTCGACGAGTTAAATGAACTTATGATTAATGATGATCATCATCATCAGCTTGTATTCGTCCACTGCTAGAAATAGACCTTAACAATATCTCGCCAATGAGCTTGATCTTCAGCTTATGTGAGTATCCAACCACTGGAATAAGATATTTTACATAGTACTTACCTTTCTTTTGATGACACGTGACCTTCAAAAGGTCCCAGCGTTTTGGGAAGAAAAACTGAGTGAAAGTGTGGGAGTCTTACCTCACTAAACTACCCGCGGTGGCCACCCTCAGCACCTTTAATGCCTTGTTTGCATTACGCTAGTAATTTAGTCGAGTAGCGAGTGTTTAGTAGTTCTCTTTCGTGTCGGTCCGACAAAATACTCGTTGCTCGACCAAGTTACTAGCGTAGTACGAACAAGGCATAAGGGGCGTTCAGCCCGAGCGTACGGCGCGTCGCGTTCCGCGCGCGCCTCAAAGAGCCATTAGACCACCACAGATGGGGCCCAATACGGCCGATGCCGATTCGGAGTCGCGGAGAACCTAACGGGTAACCGGGGCTCGACGTGCAGGAGAAGGAACGGGGTGGTTTTTAGTCAGTAAGAGTCTGACACTCCCTCCCGCCTCACCCAGACGGGAGCAGTCATTTGATGATTTTCGCCCCTTAAAAACTAACCTAACCTTTAATAAAAAAATAATAATAAAAAAAAAAACGTCCAGAGCCATCTTAGACTACACTGCGGCACTTGGTCACGCAACGAATCGCGGCCCTTTCCCAGTATCTTTTTTTTTACGTAGCCCCACTACTGTGGGGTACAAATATACGAGTTCACATACACATGACACCCAGACTCGGAACCACAATTTGTGAATCACACATAGATTTGCTCCGTGCGAGAATAAAACTGGCTACACGTGGCACAGCAGTCAGTTAACGTGCAGCGGGTGTGTGTCCTAGAAATTGTCGGTCCTTCGGGGCACCCTGAAGATAGGCCCTGAGTGGTAAAGATGATACTGGGGGCACCAGACCTTCTAATAGACCTGCTCCGGAGCCCTAAAGGTGTGACGCGTGATATGGCACATCCCTAGGGAGACGTCTTCAATGTATTACATGGTACCGAATGTATAATAGGTAATCGTTAAAGAAATAATTGGTTTCGATCCTAGAACGAAGTATACATATAGGTAGGTAATAGTTAAAATATAATTCGATTTTTAAAAAGATGAAACAATGGTAAGGAAACATGATACCGTTACGCCATTACGCTTGTATTAGGTAGTACCACCTTTCCTTCAACAGATGGCGTTAGAAATTTATACAAAATGTTCGCTATTTGAATGATAATAAAAAAGTAAGACTTAAATTATGTCTTCAGTCATAAACTATAAATTGTCATTAAATCTATGAAAATATCCAAAAATAATAATTATAAATATGAAAATTATTAATTTATTTGGTTTCAGGTTTTCTATTTTTTTCATTATGATATTCGACAACAAAATCAATAGAAAACTGTCTTTGATATCGTGGTTTATGCTCAAAATAGGTTAGTAACTTTACTGCAGAAAGCAAATCGTTTTAAAACTATTCGATAAGTAGATAATACAAAAAAAAGATACTTAACTATATAATAATCTAAATATGAATAGTTTCCCCAATCCCCAAAGGGTTTGTGACAGCCGATTTATACCAGTTATGTTATAATTCGAAATATTCCGTAATTGTCATAATTATAGATAACAGGCAGAGGTGCTCATTACGGTACTTAATGCCACTGTACAATGTAACACTAACTGTTCACTATTTATGTTATGAATAAGTCCCATGTAATATGTGATATGTAATATGTGAGTCTATTGTCAGACTCCGTGCTACTAATGAGATTTTAAACCTAGTAATACTTTGCCCTACCCGGAAATCGAACTCGAGACCCCTAGCCCGGCAGCCGCACTTGCGACCACTCGGCTCGGCTACGAGGATAACGAAATATATACAAATGTAGAGCGTATGTATGTTTGTGAAGTGAAATCCTGTAACTTAATTTTAAAGGAGATATCTTCAACAAATTGAGCTGACATTTTGAATATACGTGTAGATTGCATGACCATAAAGGTTTAACTTAAAAGTTTGTCATCAGATTTTGGTATACCTAAGTATCTGGTATTTATAACTGCACATTGCCTTTAGCCAAACGCCACTTTAGCGCTTGTCTACAGAGAGAGTAGAAAACTAAATGTATGGGAATGACACTGACAAGTTTCAAAATTTACGTCAATTCCATATAATTTGGTTTTCTACTCTACATGTAGACAAGTGCTAAATGGCATTAGACTACAGCTGCAGGTTACATCCCGTTTCTGATAGGGTGTTCGACATCAAAAATCTATTAATATATAGCTAAGCTATGCTGCTAATATACAGCTTAAAAAATCTCAGCAGTAGCACGGAGTCTGGAATTGTGGCCGGTATACGGCAATAGGCTCACCCCCTATTAAATGGGACTCATAACATAAATAGTGAAAAGTGGGTGTTACATTGTACAGTGACATAATGAGCACCTCTGCATACCTCTTTGGGGATAAATAAATGCTTTGAATTTGACATCTGGTCTCATCAAATCTGTATCATCATCAAAAATAATGTTCAGCAGTGGACGTCCTATGGCTGACATGACATCATTATGTCAGCCCAGTCAGACATTATTTTTTTTAAATGGGGAAAATCATCGAATGTCTGCTCCCGCCTGGGTGAGGCGGGAGGGAGTGTCAGACTCTTACTGACTAAAAACCACCCTGTTCCTTCTCCTGCACGTCGAGCCGGAGCCCCGGTACCCCCCCGTTTGGTTCTCCGCGACCCACTGCTGAACATAGGCTTGAAATCTGTATCAACCTTAGCGAATTATAAAAGAAGTTCGATGAGACTGCTTAACGTAAACAACTGCCCCTGGTGGAGACTGATCGCTGCCTTCAATATATTAAAGTCTAACAGTTGATATGTACAAAACAAATATGAGAAAAAAAAATGTTGTTTATTTTATTTGTTTTGTACAAAATTCGTTTATCAAAGGCATCAATTTTACTACCTAAAACTAACTGTATCTGTTTAGTTAGTATTTATTTACCTATTAATACTAACATCGCTTACCACCAAGCGAGACAGTGGTCAAACGGCGGTCCATCAAACAGGTATATAAAAAAAAACTTATTTTCAAGACAATACTTTCGAAATGTTCATGTACAATCAGTAATTTTTTGTGTTATTGAGATATTTCTCAATCCAAGTGAAGGAAAAACCAGAAGATAAAATATCAAATGAGCTGCTTTAAGGAACTTCACAATGACGATGTAAACATTTATTCAATAATAAAGAAAACCGTATTCTATGTCATATTGAAGATCATCAGACCTCGTGTCTTCAATCACTGGTTCCAATAAGCCACCGTCCTGACGTCTTTGGGTTAAAATCTTCCTCAACTTCGGATGTGTCCGTAAAAACTTCTTCAACTTTTCCTTAGTTGTACCGTTAATCAATATATCTCTAAAAGTATCGTTGGAAAAGAATTTTTCATTAACGCCTTTGACTTGCTCCAACCTTTTCTGCAACCTCTCGTCAATTTGCGTCATATCAAACTCATGTACATGCAAAACGGATTGTCGGTCTTTTTTGTATTGCTTCTTCATGTTCTCAATGAACTTCTTTAATTCCTTTGTCTTCTTCTTTCGCATCGTAGTTCCATTTGAATAAGCTCTATGTAATATCGATTTAATTTCTTGCACTATTTTTTTAATGTTTCGCTTAATCTTCCGTTTTCTCATATCTCTCTCTCTCTTCCGCTTCTTTCTCTCGCGCTTGCGTTTCTTGTGCTTAGGCGGTATGTTCTTCTTTTCTGATGAATCTGTTGAGAAGCTGCTGCCTTCGAAGGTAGCTTCCAGTCCTTGGTACATGTCGTAATTTGTGTATTGCAAAGAACAGCAAACGAAGGTGGTTCGACCACAGATGTAATCACCGCGATATATTCTGTATTCTGATTCACATTCACCAGGTAACATGCAGGAGCCCCACGGTGTGTCGTGTTGATCAGGATCTCCGCAAGGAACTCCCCATGGTCCTAAAATAGAACAACTCTAACATTATAGAGGTAGAATTTCACACTTGAAAAATCTAATTTGAAGTAAACGACTTTTAATTTAAGGTCGTATAGTGAAAAGTGGGTGTTACATTGTACAGTAGCATTAAGTGCCATAATGTACACCTCTGCCTATCCCTTCGGGAAAAGATGTAATGTTATATATATATATATTACAGAATAAAGAAATAACAAATATAAATTAATAATGAAAAAGGTTATATCGCCACTTTATGTGATATTTGGCAGTAAGTAAAAACCAATGAAAACTTTAAATCAATAGTAAATAACTATAATACACGAAGATAATTGAAACAAGCTCTACTAGTTCGTTCTACAAGCTCTTCTAGAAGAGTTCCGTAGTTTATTTTTTTAGGGACTAATATCATAAGGCCCAAAAGGAGATGGCGGGACGAATTAGACATCTATGACAAGGATTGGCCGCAAAAAGCTTTACCTAAAGAGGTGTGGAAGGAGGGTAGGGAGGCCTAAAAATAATAATATCATCGAATGGCCTCTCCCGTCTCACCCAGGCGTGTCAGATTCTTACTGACTAACAACCACCCCGTTCTTACTCCTGCACTTCGACCCGGGTCCCGGTAACCTTTAAGTTCTCCGCGGCTCAAGAGTTCCGTAGTGACTCGAAACTAATCGAGTTTTTTACATGAATAAACCTTTATTTGCAATTAATTTAGTTTATCTCACGAAAATTATTATTACCTACAATCTACCGACTACCACGTACATTTCTGCACTACCCAAAGGATGACTGGCAGAGAATGCTGTTAGCAGTAAGTCTACAAAGATGAAAATTATTTCACTGTCTTACTTTTACCCAGAAGATACTTACTTGCTGCTACCATGTTCACCACGTCTCCCCTTGATAAGGTCGCATTGAGCGCTTCAAATTTCTTTTCCATCATAAATTCATTAAAGTCCTGCTTCCAGAATGACATGTCATCAGAACTGCTACTGGATGAACTTTCATCATAGTTGTTTCTATTTTTTCTCTTCGACGATTGGCGTCGTGCAGGCTTAGCTCCAAATACTTTTCTTATTTCATTCAATACTGGATCCATTTGGTAATATTCTTTTCCAGCCCTTTTGTCCTTGATTTCGAACTGCTTGGAACGAAGTAAAGTGCGTGCTGTTTTCATGTCTACCTCGTGCATTTTAGCGTTTTGCAAAACTTTCGCTTTATCCTGAGCTGTCTTTTTGTCTATAGCATTTTGCTGCCTTATATTTTGGAAAATACTCCCTGAACCCTTAAAATTATGCCTATTTTCACCATTGACATCACGTCGTTCCTCATCGAAAATCGATAGAATGTTATCTCTGAAATTAGAAAAAATAGTTGCGTGAATAAAATTAATATACAATATCAGTATCGTTAAATAAAAATACCGCATTTTACTTCAACATGTCTAACATGTATCCTATCAGAAATATTTATTCAAAAGCGTAGAGCAGTTAAATGTTTATCGGTAAGTATTACAATAAATGTTGAAGCCATTAAATATTTATGGGTACATTTATTTTATGTAAGTGTTTTGATATATTTTGGCTATGAAATAATGTCGTTGTGTAAAAACTCTTAGGTTTCTTGTAAAGGCTCCTGCTATTTTAGATCTATTCATCGGGACCCAGATTCCATAACATAACATCACGCCTTTTATCCCCGAAGAGGTGCACACAGAAGTAACACCCACTTTTCACTATTTATGTTATGAGTCCCATGTAATAGGAGGTGAGCCTATGGCCATATACCGGGCACAATTCCAGACTCCGTGCTACTACTGACGTGCTACGGGACACACACATATCTCTTATTAAGAAGAAATTTAATTAGATGACCATTCCGTTCAAAAAAAATTTCCACGAAAGTTATAATAATTTAGAATGTTTTATTTTGACACATAATAACAAAACACACGTCATGATGTACAGAGATTTTCAATATTTTGTCCAACAATACAAATGTAATCAATTTCTATATAGGTAGATTACTGTTACTAGAAAGTGTATTCCTATTTATACTTATTTAAATGGGACAAGTCCGCCACAATCTCCCAAAACCGCTACAACTCCTGTAAGCCAGGATCTGCAGTGGATACAACCATGAAAACACCGGAATATTGAGGTCCGGTGCATTCCAGGGACATGAATTGGGTGCCGTAATTAAATAAATCAAAAGATATTATTTGAGGAAATGAAAAGAAAGGATTGTTTCCACGTTCCTCGGTGAAATTAAATATAGGAGAGAGAATGATTTAAAGGCACAAAAAGAGTGCACAACTGCGAGAAGCCCAGTCGTTCAGTTTTTTTTATTATATTAAATTTCTTTTTCTCTAAAGACTCTTGTCCCTGCTCTTGTCATTCAATTACATTTTCTTTTATTTTACAGTCAAAATTAATTGTTACAAAAATCTTATGTGCTACATTAACCACATTCTTTTCACAAAGAAGGTTGTGCCTACTATCTACATTGTGATCTACATAATTATATACATTACGTGTTTTATTACATTTACATTAACCTACTGGATCGGCCCACCCGCGCGATGAGCGAGCCGACCTGCTCTAGCAGAAGGCCCGTTCACGAGCATGACGTGAGGGCGAGCAATTGGCAGTCGTTCAGTTTAGGCAGGCACCACGGAAATTCTATTTAAAACTAAGTCTTAATTAAACAACTGGGAAAATATTTAGTTCTGCTGTTGAAGGAATGAATTTGCAGCATGCAGTATGCGCGCAGATAAATACTCATGCAGCAGAGATGCGACATTTGTGTGTACATACACATGACACGCCACAACCCACTCGAACCACACTCGACATAGGTCTCGCTCATCCACGTAGCATCCTTAGGAGTTGTTGACTCGGCGGCTGTCGGGCCTCGTCTTTAAGCAGCATAGTATATGCTGCAAATTTATCCTTTCAGCGAAAAAAATAATCCCAGTTTTTTGTGTAGCGTGGAGTTCCGCAAAGTAACGCTTGATTCTACATGTTTTATATAGTAAGTCAAAACTCAAAAGCATTTATTGCAATTAAACCATACTTTTTTACTTTTGAAACGTCAACAAATATGAAATAAATAATAGTCTGTCAGTCTGTCCGTCAGTGAAGCTAGGCGCTCGTTCCAAAATGTCGATTCGAGTGGAGAAGAACGAATAAGAAACTCCGTTCATTACTCTTTTAAAAAAAAGTCTGTTTTACATTGCTCTGATACATATTCCAATATTATACACAAATGTAAGAATAATGTAAAGACATACCTGACGCATCATAAAAATAACAGAACATACTAAAATAAAAAAACAAAACCAAGAGAAAACAAATATCTTAAGTCTGAAATGGTCCTCACATATGTATACTGACAATCCATATAAAATAGTGCTTCTATACAAGAAAAAAAAAAATAAATAAACTGTTTAAATAAAGAAAGAAATGTTCGATGCCACAAGAAAAATAGATTGCCTTCGTCAGGTACTGACTACATTTGAGTATTGTCCAGTGGAGCCGAACCAACATGCTGCCAAGCATTCCTATCCTCAAGATAATCAAGTACTCTGTAGTAAGCTTGTTTACAAGATTCGCGCTTGAGTCTTAAGTCTAGTCAATCCTATTTATACTATAGACTATTCTGTTCTGGTCGCGTGGTCGCAAGTGCGACTGCCGAAAGGGTTTCGGGTTCGATTCTTGGGTCGGGCAAAGTGTTACTGGGTTTTCTAAGAAAAATTCAGTAGTGGCACGGAGTCTGGAAATGTGCCTGGAATTATATGGTAATAGGCTCACTTCCTATTACTAACTGGGACTCATAACATAAATAGTGAAAAGTGGGTGTTATGTTGTACAGTGGCATTAGGTAAGTGCCGTAATGTGCACCTCTGCCTACACCTTCGGAATAAAAGGCGTGATGTTATGTGTGATCCTGTTCGTAGTAATAAAACTGTCTACCTGATAAAGACCGGTCAAAGCTCTTAGGGTTATCACTGTTTACAAGTTTTTAGTTTTTTGTTATTACTAAAAACTTGCATCTTTTGGGAAAGACGTAGTTGATATTTATGTAAATAGTGGATAGAAATATTTTACAATGGTTTATTAGTAGGGCCTAAGTATCATTTACTAGGTCTATAGTTTTTATTGATCTACATATTGTGTTAATCGAAATATATTACTTTAGAAGAAAATGATAATATTATTATACTAGCAGCCCGTCCCGGCTTCGCACGGGGTAGACAATTATTTATTATTGGAAATTTGGATTGTTGTAGTGACATAACTACAATAGTTGGACATATGCTACCGCGGAGTTTTTTGTAGACATTATGATGTTCTTCAATATTGTTGTACATTATTTTGTTCTATCGCTAATAGTTTCGGCAGCGCATTCAACGAAAGATATTTTAAGACTCATTTTTCTACACCTTCGGTTACATTGTTCAAATTTTACCAAGGATCCCTAACTTTTTTCAAATATGTCCCTAAGTTCTATGGGCGAGTAATGCGTCTATTATGTTTTTCAATTAGGATTTTGAAACACTACAATTTGATAAGGGTCTGGAGTTGACCTGATGATGGAGCCGACAGGCAGTCGAGGGAACTCCTCAGCGGTTTATATTAACTACCTTGAGTTTGGGCTTGATTAATTTGGATTGATGAGGACTTTACACCTAAATAGAGTAGGGCTGTCATTAAGGATCTGATGATGAAGAAGTGTAATTGTTAAGGGAACTCCTCAACGGTATACAGTAACTACCTTGTCTTCGGGCTTGTATAATTTGTATTGATTAGAACTTTGCACCTATGATTATAAGTAACAAAACGGGTATATGTAACTTAAGCAGAAATAAATTCACTTGTTTCACTTGTGTCACTTGTTTCACTTGTTTCACTTGTTTCACTTGTTTCACTTGTTTCACTTGTTTCACAATAAAAACTGCGTTTAAATAACCGACTTCAAAAAAACCAAAAACTAATAACAAACAAAAAGTCAAAACTAAAAAGCAAAAAATAACTATGATTAGTACTGATAGATTACCCACCCACTGATAGGTTAGAAGTCGGTGCCATAAGATCATAATAACATAATGATATAACTTAATGTCCACATAAATGTGAATTAGGTACCTATTAAGGTTTTAATGAATAATTTTGTATGGAACTTATGGCACCGACTTCTTACCTATCAGTGGGTGGGTAACCTATCAGTACTAATCATAGTTATTTTTTGCTTTTCAGTTTTGACTTTTTGTTTGTTATTAGTTTTTGGTTTTTTTGAAGTCGGTTTTAAATCTAGCAGTGGTAACAGCTACTAGACGATACGTAAATTTCACGTCGAATACTGGATTATTTGCATTTTTTTTGTTTACTTTTTAGTTATTTGTTAAGTTAATTCGTAAACTTTATAAATAACACTTCTGCCTCGTTGATGCCAGTACGATCACCCCTATTTGGAAATGGAAGGAAGATGATTCTAATGAAACCTTAAGATTTTTACAATTAAGTACATAATATAACATCTGGCCTTTCATCTCCGAAGGGGTAGCCAGAGGTGCACATTACGGTACTTAATGCCACTGTACAATGTACCACTCACTTCTCACTATTTATGTTTTGAGTCCTATGTAATACGGCGAGCCTGTTACCTATTTAGTAGTATGTTTTATAATAACTATCGTGAGATATACTGTATTAACTAATTATAAGAGTTTACTCACGTGAATATACTGAGTAGCGAGTAGTCAGGGCGAGGAAGAGGAAGACTCGGTCTGTGACTCGAAACTAGTAGAGCTTTTCTCAGTTTATTTAAGTGAGTAAAGCGTTATTTTTATATAGTTAATTTTTTTAGTATGTTTATTTATAAGTATTAGGGCTCATTCGACGTGTCCATTTTTTCTGATGTTGGTGGTGTGGGGTATTATGATTCAAAATGTGTTTTTAGTTTCTTAACTACGAATTTACACCTGAAACACCAAGGCGTTACAAGTGCGTTACCGGCCTTTTGGGAATTGGGAATTTGAGGATGTGGAGGATTCGGGGATTCGAGAGACGGGGACTAGGGTGGGGGTAATTGGACCTCCGGTAACCTCACTCACACGACGAAACACAACGCAAGCGTTCCTTCACGTCGGTTTTCTATGAGCCCGTGGTATCACTCCGGTCGAGCCGGCCCATTCGTGGCGAAGCATGGCTCTCCTACATTTAAATTGATATATAACGTAATGCCTTTAAGCCCCAAAGATTAGGCAGTTATGAAATCAGCATTTTGGAAATCCGTCGCGCAGTTTTTGGCTAAAATACACAGTTAATGCTGCACCTCATGTTAAAAATGTATGTTTAAATGCATATTTACGGTGCCACTTTTCACCTGAAATTAATGAATTTAGACTTTGCCAATTACTATCACTACATAGTATAAAACAAAGTCGCTATCCGCCGTCAATCTGGCCCTATGTAGGTATGCCTATCTTTGAAACTGCGCAACGGATTTTGATACGGTTTTTTTAATAGATAGATTGATTCTTAAGGAAGGTTTATACTCATAATACCTGCATATTGCACCCGTGCGAAGCCGGTGCGGGTCGCTAGTATATATTTCTGGATTATACCTACTTTGGTTGCTCTATGGATCAATAATTTTGTTGTACCTATCTTTAAAAAAATCCTACGTTCACGATCTAATGGACTATAAGATTGCATCTGCACACGGAAATCCTTTTCCAAAAAGTGTTCGTTATAATTTATTTTACATCTACAATTTATATTATATGATTCAGTGTATGGGCAGTGCGCGTGAGTTCTGTTCATGAAACCGCCGTTAATATGCATTCAACTGTCTTAGTTTATTGCGGTTCTTAGGACTTTCTTTATCTTTCTGATTAAGTATTTATGCTATTTATATTGTTCTCATAATATAATTATACCCGTCAAAATAGTGAAGTGAGTGAGTAAAAGTAAAGGAAACCATCTTTTACTAAACGTTGTATAATTATTTAGCTCTATGAAATGACATTTTCATGCATATAGGTACCCGGATTTATGTACATTTTATTGTCCAACCAGAACATATCGAACCAACTTACATAAAATAAATGTACCCATAAATATTTAATGGCTTCAACATTTATTGTAATACTTACCGATTAACATTTAACTGCTCTACGCTTTTGAATAAATATTTCTGATAGGATACATGTTAGACATGTTGAAGTAAAATGCGGTATTTTTATTTAACGATACTGATTTTAACTTTTAGGTCCAATCAAGTTCATTCAAATGTAAAAAGTAATTTTCAACAGACTTTGGGTCGTCATGTTGTCAGAAGAAGCAACCAGGATCCAATCGATTTGATGAACATATCAGATGATAGAAAGTGGGAAAAAGAAGTAAAATCTCACGATGAAGAAAAGGACATTGAACATAATTCAGCCTTCTCAAAGACAACTGAAAGTTCCCACATGAAGGTCGATAAAGATAACTATAATAATCCCTTAGATCGTGTACAAGAAAATATGGTCGGACGTAGAAAATTAAGTGACGAAACCAGTGAATCTAGTGATATGGACTTGCCCCATTGGAAGGACGAATGGAAAGAACTCTGGATAGAAAAAAAATTTGAAGCTCTCAATTCAACAATGCCTAGGGGTGACGCGGTTAACATGTTGGCAGCAAGTGAGTGAACAATGAGACTAATTCATTATCATTATCCTCATCATCAGCTGGAAGACGTCCACAGTTAAACCAAGGCCTTCACCTTAGTCCTCTTATTCGAACGACAACTCGCCACTTACGTACATTGGTTTAAGTGTATTTTGCATCAGTTAAATACTTTAGTACGAAACTGAACGTCATTCGCAACGCTTTCGTCAATTAACGATTGTAAGAGGAATGCCTGCATCTTGCGTAGAAATAATGAAAATTGTGTCTGCGGAGCGGCAACGTTGTGTCACTCACTACTCATACAAATTGGTCTTTTTTTTTGATGACGGGGGGACACCTTCAAAAGGAGCCTAGCTTTTTGGGAAGAAAGACTAGGGAGTGTGGGATTCGTACCTTACTAAAACCACCCCTCAGCACCTGTAAGGGTGTCTCCGGGTCCTCTGAAGAGAGCTGCTCCGGAGGCCCCACGGTCAACGCCTATTACAGCATATTCCTAGGGAGACCTGCGTGTCCCTTGCTCATCGCTTTCCTATCCTACCGTCTCATACAAATTAGTCTATCGTCATTTGTAGATTGCATGCACTCGGCGAATGGTGTGTCATGGACAGTAGGCCTAAGCGTTAAAACACACACATTATATAACGTTCATTGATATAACGCTACAAACAAAACTTAACCTATTTTTATTTTTAAGGGCCATTGGGAAGCAGCTGTGGGGATCCTAACCAACAAGATGCGCCTTGGGGTTCATGTATGAGGCCGCAGGATTGTGATGCAGAGTTTCGTATATATCGAGGAGATCAGTACTGTGGTAAATCTACATATGTGTGTTGCGCTCTCGTTGCAAATAAGTATGATTTATATGGCGCAATAGACTTCTCGTTTGCTGGCTCAAGTTTTGAAACCGACTCCAATGAAATATTAGCAAATACAAAAGCCGGCGTTTCTAAAGAAGTAGAAATTAAAGAAAGAAAACGCGAAAAATATAAACGGGAAGTAGAGAGAAATAAGAGGAAAAAGAAAATTATTAGGAACATAAAACAAGTAGTGAAAGAAATGAAATCTTTGTTAAACAAAGCTTTTACAAATAGAACCTTAGAAAAGAGAACGAAGACCAAAGAACTGAAACAGTTTATTACAAATCTAAAGAAAAAGTTTAAAAAGGATCGGAAGGCTGTAATAGACGTTCATCACCATGAAATACGTCAATACGACGACAAATTGCAAAATAAGCTTGGTAAAGTTAAATATCTTAATGAAAATTTTATGACCAATTACACATTTAGAGAATTGGTCGTGAATGGATCACTGAATAAGCCGTTGTTCATGGCAATTCTGCGTTCAAGTCCAGACATGATGAGTTATATTCAAAATAAAATACGTACAGATGGTATAGATTTAGACCATTCCTTGAAAGACGAAATATCAGATCTGAAGAAGCAAGCAACGAATAATACACAAATAAGTGCTGCGAATAACACTCGAAGAAGCGGTTTGACTTTAGATAAATCGGAGCTAGGTTCAGGGAGCCACATCTCTGGATATGATTCGGAATACGATGTCGAATATGGCTTGCTTTACTATTGACCCATATATAAATTGCTATTGATAATATATTTTTTTATTCATTCTATTTTACATTAACACTCGAACGCATATAAGTTATTGAGGTAGTCGGGTACTATTTCTTTTTCTTTCTTTTTGGCAATGGAGTCTCCAATACAGTGTTGACTATACCCCCTATGTCGAGGCAGTTGTTAGTAACTGTAAAGAACAAACACTTGGGTTAGTAAACATAAATATCCAATACACTCACATTACATTACAGTAGATATGCTAATTACACTTATCATTTAAGAATACGGACTTGACGTAATGGACTAAACTAACGACACCAAAAGACGGTAAATCGTAAATTCATCTTACGTATTTCACTTATGTTACTGACAATAGCCTCTTAAATATCTCCCATTTAAAGGGCGAAGCATATGATTGTACCTACGTTATTGTCTAATTAGGTAACATCTATATGTCTTGAAAAATATCCCTTGTGTTTTATGACAGTAATACAGACAATGACAGACTTATAAAATAACAAAAGGCTAATAAAAAGCAAGAAAAAAGGTGTCTTACATTCAATATTATTCAATGTGGCTAAGGGAATACCCTTGGCGACTTTTTACTAATAAGGTTAACGAACCTTCTTAGTACTACACCATTATAATAATCTTGGAGCGAGGTTTCTTCAACGTTAAACTAGCTAGGTAAGTAACTAGCTTTTTTTTATAAAAAATCCTCCTGCACTTCGAGCCGGAGCCCAAGCGCGGTCCAATAGGTTTGATGCCCATACGGAGCCGCTACCTGCATCTGTGGGGGTCTGATGGCTCCTTGAGGCTCGCGCGTAACGCAACGCGCCGTACGCTCGGGTCTGGTTCTGGTCGGGCGACGAGTCACCCATCATAAACTAATACAGGAATTAAACGCTATTCCGACTTAAAGACCTTATATACTATTTTGTAAAGTAAAATAGCTGTGTAGGTAACTGTACAAATCTATACACATACACCTACATACATTTATATATATATTTACATTTTTGTACGGAATGCATAACACTTCCTTACCAGTTGGTCGATAAAAATTCCATCGATAGTCGATAATTGTAATCCTATCGACAGAGCCCTCATCACTAATTACCAATATAGTTATAACTATCAATAGCTACTGATGATCGCTTACCGATGCGTGTGCGCATATCTGTCAAACCAGTCTTGCCGAGATTTTGCTACGACGCGCGTGGACAATTCTTTCACTTTCTAAAACCTATAAAAATTACCTTAGTTCTACCTATTCCTTACTACTTTTATATACTGACTGTCTTCTCGTTATCTCTGTGCCGTGCTTGTGACTTTCCTACTGTGCCTTCTGTACTACACGTGTCGGATCCATCAAATAAACCTGGTGATACGTGAGTCGAACTTTTATTTACACCGTCAGACAACTCATCTAAACAACCAATTCGAGACAGGCTCTGATAATATACTTTGAACAAAACCAACATCTATCAAATTAATTTTAAAATTATTCATCAGCACCTCTCTAGCAGCTCGGGTCCTGACTCATTCCACCAACAAATGATGGACATCCTCCATCACATCACATTGTGCACAGTTGGGACTGTTATGATTATACTTTAATATCTTAAACACAACACTGGGTATCATTTTTTTGGAAAAAGTGTACCGTAAAACCATAAATAGGAATCGAGAGGTGAATAAAGACAGAAGAGGGGTTAATAGATATTGGGAAATTCTTCACAGTATCGATTCACCCCTCTGCTATTTCGATTCACCTTTCGATCCCCATTAACCCCATTTTACACGAAAAAATGAACTTAATTATGCAGCTCAATCCCTAGACACAGTTACTGTACCAAACGCAAATATAAGTTTGTCGAATGTTAGGTTGTCCGCAGTGGATTTTAGGCTGTAATTATAGGGCCGATGATTGAAATTAGCTTCAACCGATATTGTAAATGTCAAATATATGAGAGTTTCTGCGTATATTTGTTACTTAGTGACATCAAACGGCTGAAGAGACCTGGGTGAAATTTGGAACAGAGGTAGATTATGGTCTGGAGTAACTCATTGGCTACTTTTTCCCCTGGGGACGCGGGCGAAGCCGCTGGCAGAAGCTAGTTAAGAAATAAAAGAGAATAGTACAAAATGGCGTCTCGTACTAGAGACGACTGTAGTTCCAAAAGATACTATATTTACCTGCTGAATTTACCTACCTGAATATATGATTGAATTCTTATTCAATCATATATTCAAAGGTCTATCCCATAGACGTGGTGGTCTGGAAGTTCAAGATTCACGCTTCTCATGCATAAGGACAAAGTACTTATGTGACTTTTTTTCGAGTTATATGTACCTATTTTCAAAGATTATTTAGACACCACTGGCAAACGGTGATGGAAAACATCGTGAGGAAACCTGGGCTTATAATTTCTAATTATAAGTTTGAAATCGCCAACCTGCATTGACCAAGCTTGGTGATTAATGCTAAAACCTTCTCCATGTGAGAAGAAGCTTTGAATCAGCACTGGCTGCTTAAAAAAGACATATGTAAATGACATATAACATAACA